GCAACCAAAACAAGATAGAGATTCAGTTTGCATAGCAAACCTCCAAATGTCCCAGGAATCCAAGCTAATCCAACAAACAAGAACTTGATTAATGGCGGACTCGTCACTGTAGTCGTTACCAAGTCTCCACAGGCCATGTTGAGTATCAGAAGGAATGTGGTGGACTTCAATAGCTGATCCTTTCTGATTATATAGATCACCATCGAGTTACCGAGGAAGGATACAATAAATGCCAGGCTGGTCAGGAGCGTGAAGACTACTTTAATAGTTAGGGAAAGGTCTGGCGATTTCAGAAAAAACAAAGATGGGGAAAAAAGGAAAGTGAAACTTAGAATTCAACTTTTCTTGATATTTAAAAAGGTCAAAAAGCCTTAAATTAGGGTAGTATAAGCGTGACTTTACTACTAAAGAATAGGAAACTTATTCAGTTTTCCTCTTTGACACCAAGCCTGGATCCTTTTATGAAGAACACACGATGACAAAATTTAGGCAAGCTCCTCATAAATCAGTGCCGTAGCAAGGTTAGCGGGGGAGGGGAATCACGAGCGCCGAAGGCGCGAGCTGCTAGAGAGGTCCGGGGGCATGCTCCCCTGGAAAATTTTGAACTATAGGGTCTCTGAAATGGCATTTTCAGCCTTCCGAGAGTATTAATTTCCCATTTAAGAAGTGTACTTTGTGCGCTTAATTTTTCTTTGTTGAAGCCATAAATAAATAATTTTCAGGCTTTATCGAGCTGAAATGAACACATTGAACCGACGAGCAGTGTAAAGGTAGGTAATTGATGTATGGGGACAAGAGCTTGGCCGCTGACCAAATTAAACGTGCCTGTCAAAATTATTGGGGGGACCCAGGTCCCCCCGGCCCCTCCCCATGCTACGACACTGTAAATACACAATTTAAGCACTTTTTATGGCATAGAAACTAACTCCATAAAGTCAGGGTGATAAGCTCCTTAAAGTGCATTGCAACTGTTTTTTTAACGCCAAACCTTGTGGACCCCTCGAAACACATTATTAAAATTTTCGGTTAAAATCCAGGGTTTTTTTTACATAATACCAAAGCAATTAATTTTTTATGAATGTCTGTTAATGTGATAAAATAAGATCAAAATATTTTTCCTTTTGATTTTTTAGGTCTGATAGTTATTTGAATCCAAAGAACTATTGTGATATTAAAAAAACTCCGGAGTTTTGAAATTTCTTAAAGCCCTATATTAATATCTGCGGTACTGTTCTTGAACCCTATTTTTCAACTGCGACAAAACGGACAAAAATCGGTGATAGAAAATTAAATATTATGCATAGAGTAAAAAAAAGCTTTTCTGGCCAATGGCGATTTTATCCTACCTTGTGTCACGTCTGTGCTGTTTTCCATGCTTGGTGCTCCTTTCTTGGCAATGGTGAAATATATTTGCGGGTTATGATTTCAGTATTGCGGATTATTACAACGCCTCTGAAACTGGCCAAGTAATAATTACTCTGAAGTAATTAACGTTTTTTGTACAACGGCTGAAGTTTGCTTATTTTTCTCTCTGTATAAACGTTATTGTTGGTATAATTTTTCGCCCTCCAAATCAAAATGTAAATGATTTCTTGATTAGAATGAACGACGTATTAGGGAAAATATCACGGGGCAATATAGTAATTTAAATCCAAAGACTATTGTGATACTAAAAACCCTTAAGATTTTTGAAATTTCTTTAACCCCTCTATTAATATCTGCATTACAGTTCGTGAACCATATGTTTAAACCGCGACAAAACGGACCAAAATCGGAGATAGGAAATTAAATATTATGCACAGAATAAAAAATGGACTTCAAGGCGTCCATCTTAGCTTCCCTGGTTAATGGCGATTTTATCGTACCTTGTGTCATGTCTGTGCTGTTTTCTATGCTCGCGGCTGCCTTTTTGGCAATGGTGAAATATGGTTTCAGTATTGCGGATGATTTCAATGACTCTAAAACTGGCCAAGTATTTATTTTGAATTAATTAACGTTTTTTGTACAACGGCTGAAGTTTGCTTATTCTTCTCTTTGCATTGCCTCATATATCAGCGCCGTAGCTAGTATGAGGCCAACCGAGGCACTCGCCTCGGTAAAATTTTGACGAATTTCGCCGATCATTTTTATTTTACATAAGCGATCATCGGATATTTTTAACGCATCATGATATTACAAAGAATTCAGCAATTCAGTCAATATACTATGAAAAAATTACTATATCATCGATCTCAAGGGGCTACGTACGTTAACTCAAATTTTTTTTGAACAAATACTGATCAAAACCATTGGCGAGGTTAACGGTCACCCAGATTATGTAACTTGTTTCTGATTATTGCTTTTTAAATTCCACTTAAATTAACTCGAAAAAAAGTTACCGAAAGGCCCAGGGGCCCGTTTCTCGAAAGTCCCGATAATTAACGGGCCCGGTAAGCTGTCTCCGTTTACATTAAAGATCGAAGTTTCAATAGTTTTGCATCTAACACGATAAAACTGTCAGTTAATGAAACAAAATGGAGTAGTTTGCTAGCCAGGACCCGCGCTCTTATTTTTTATATTTCGATTTGAATATTTGATTTCGGGTCCGTAAAGTTACCGGGACTTTCGAGAAACGGGCCCCAGAAAACGCTGCAAATCGCATTTCCGAGAGACTAAAGTTCAAAATTTCTCGGGGGGGCATGCCCCCGAACCCCCCTAGCAACTCCCGCCTGCCTCGGTTGGCCGTTTGGTCTGGCTACGGCACTGTATATATATATATATATATATATCGTTAAAGATAAATATATATGATCAGTGTTTTTAATTACAAAAGTTGCTTCTTAGCAATCTGCTTGTGGATTCCAGTATTTAACAACTTTAAGATCATTTATTTATTTATATAATTTTATTTTTCATTTGCACATAGAATAAATATTACAGAAAGAAAATGAAATATATATATAATATATTATTACTAAGATTGCACAATTTACAGGGCAGGAAAACCTACCCCCCAAAAAGTTCACAATTAAATGTAATATTAAGACACTTAACTTTTGTAATAGATAGAGTGGCGAGGAAGCCCAATAGAAGCTAAATAGCTTGTAGAAAATTGGGCTCCTCATATTTAATTATGATTTAATGTTAGCTGCCATATCATGGTAAGGCGAGTTTAATTTATAGCTCTCTCTGTGAGGTATTTTTTTAATGAGCTCTCGAAACTAGAAGACAGTTTTTTTTAATATGGTAATTTAATTTAATCTCGCACTCCCTAAACCAGAGATACGATCAGCTAGATATAATTTAACACAGAAAAGTAAATGTAGAGACCTGAAATTAATGCGAAAACTTTCCTCGTTATTACAAATACAATCAAAGAAGGAATGCGCGTACTCATCAATTATAAATTCACACACAAAAAATTGAAGTTAACGCAAAAAGTTAATAACGTACACCTTTTTTAATATACCGTTCGTCCTTTATTTAACTCTTTATTCGATGGACACGTTTTTAGCTTCGAAACTTCAAGGATAGACGAAAATGTTTCCATCAGAGTGACAATCAAGAGGGCTTGAACCTTCTCTGACGATTACTGCACTGCCGATCGCCATTGTTATTTACATATTCTGCGCTTTACAGCTGTATACAGCTCCTTGGAGAAAGGTTGTCGGAAGAAGTGAACGCGACAATCTGGAAAGGTATTATGGGTGATTTTGAGTTCACTGTTCTTCAAAGAAATTTGAAAGAAAGGCACGAGAGGCCAAAGAATTATGTTTGCCAAAGCTAAAAGAAAGCAACAATAGAAGATTCAGTAGCTACAGTGTCAGGAACAGCTTATTGATCATATCCCATATTGCCTTTCGGGATTGTCGCGTGCACATTTTTTCCGACAACCTTTTTCGAAATAGCTGTACATAAATTGCAATTTGCTTGCGTTAGAATAGAAGAAGTTTAGCAGTTTTTCTTCAAACCTCTAATTTTATTCGTTTTGTTTATTGTTTTCCCCATAAATCCCTCGAAGCCTCGTAAGAGTAGCCTAGTAGCGTTGCATCCGGACTTGTAACTCAAGACATAGCTACAACCAGTTGCAAAAATGTTGAGACACTCCCACGGAAAGCGACCTTTCTTGCTTCAAATCGCTCCTGGTCACAGGTCTGTAAAATATAATACTGACCTTCCTCCTCCCTCCCATTCAAAGTTGTTCTTCCAAGTTTTGAGTATGGTCTTGTATTGCTAGCAACTTTGATAAGGGGTGGAGGGGGGATCACAAGCACAAGAAAAGAAAATGTGGTAAATTACCCATCCGAGAAAATTTGGTAATCACGTGACCGTACACCGGCCGACCACCCGACCGGCCGAACGCCCGAGAGTCCGTCCGCAGCACAGGGATACCAATGAAAAATAAGTCAATCAACAGGTATGGCAACCGAAATGCAACTCGAGGTTTTATTTGCAAAGAAATCGAATGGCCGCCCGGACTTTTAGAAAGAAAAAACAACAACAAAGTCTCGTCTTTTTCGACGTTATTTTTTATGTTTACACTCACGTGGATAACAGAGTGATTGAAAACAAAAGAGACGAATGTTGTAGGAAGAAAAACATGAAATTTCAAAGCGGCGGTGAGACAATAGGGCCATTTATACCAGGAAAAGTAAGACGCGTCTTAAATAGGACGCGAACTGGACCATTTATACGAGCATGTCTTATCTTAGTCTTCTTTATACTTAAACTTACTTTTAAAGTGTAAGTTCATAATACGAAGATAGCAATTTGATTAGTAAATATAAATGGTAATAATAATAATAATAATAATAATCATTTTATTAAACCCTTTGGTAGTGTAGTGTATAACACTAAATTACAAGGGAGGTCAAGAATACGCAGAACACATAATTACACATGGCACAGAAGGCAAAAAACAATTAAATTCTATCGTAACTGTGGGTAACAAAATTTCTAAGGCGGTCCGTTCTGACAAAGCGGAATTCAGAAAGGAAAAAACCCGACCTCAACCCGTACCCATGAGCGACAATCGTGGGCTGCGGCAGCAGGTGTGAAAGGAACCCGGACTCCTTGATGTTAGATATAAAACGCCTGCAAGCCTTAGTCTTATGTAAGACGCGTCTTATTTTTCCTCGTATAAATGGCCCTAATGAGAAATGCTAACGGCCCGGAAGGTGAAAATGAGCGGCAGTGAAAAACAAAAGCGAAGATGCCGACACAGGAGACAAAATATTGGGTAAGCACATACGACAATTCCTCCATAAAAGTAATGTGTAACTAAGAAGTTTGACGTTTTAGCCCTACAAAACAGCGTTGTAGTTGCGCAAAACAACGGCAAAGAAAGACAAAAAGCGTGCTGCATGTGCAAATTTGTTTTCTTTTCCTAATTAGAAAAAAAAGTGTACTGCACGTGCAATTTGTTTTTTTGCTAGTTAGATCTATTGATCTTGATGCCATTTTCATTGCCGTCCCCGTTTAGCATTACACGATTTAAGTTTTTTTTGTTTTGAATTATTATTAACAAAGCTTCGCTTTTAGCCCTGGCTAAATCTATATATTGCATACCCTTCTACGGCGCCAGACCATGCTTAGGACCTTTTGACTGGGCTGGTCCGATTTCCAAGATCTCGCCTCTCCTCTAAATCCTTTGTAAAATTTTGGATGTGTTCATATGAGAGGGTGGGATGGCTCGGTTCCCGAGATCTCGGTTTTTCCAACCGGGATCTCGGTAAGCAGGCTCAAAATTTTGCCATATGAACATTTCAGCCCGGTTACCGCGATGAAAGCGGGATAAATTCTAGCGGCTCGGATGGCGTTGTCTTGCCTTGCCTGCTGTGTTTTCTACGTCATAAGCATCCCATTTAACTGCAGCGATACAGCTTTAAGGGTTGCCAAATCTATGGTTGGCGCGAAAGTTATAAATATTGTGTTTTCCCATGTTTGTTTTGTTTTTCGAATTTCTCGCCGGCACTCGTCTCTTCTTCAGGTCATCAATGCGATTTACCTATCACTTACTGATTAGGCGCTGGGCAGCCTTTGTGGGGTATAGCTACTCCATTAACTACTAAAGTGATACAGCTTGTCCAGCAGCCGCGGAATAAAACGACGGTTCCTCATTTCAGAAGACCTTCGAGTGCAATGTGGCAGTCTGTCATATAATTTTGCGAACTGCTGCGTGTTACTTCAAGACCATCCCTACGTAATACATAGACGATCTCTAAATCCGTCCCGCAGCTCTGTGCACAAGAGAACAGCAAAAATCTTCCTTTGATCACCCAATTAAATTTCAAAAGGTGAACTAATTTAATATTTCTTGGCCTAAATAGCGGCACTCCAGAACTGCAAGAACTGCCTGTATTCGTAACTCGATGGCTTCACGTTCACCATTTACACTTCGGACTTAAAAAAAAACAAGGGAGGCACGGTTCGAGGCCAGGGGCCTAAAAATCGGGAGCCGGGGCCTTGAACTCTTAACACCGTGGTTGCACCTTTTACTGATGTAGACATAAATTTATCTCTGCAGGCCGGCGCTATTGTGAAATCTTACAAGTGCTATGTTTTGAATTGGATTCGGATACCTTTGATGAACGTTTTGATGTGCACTTTGCACGACTTGCGCGTTGTGTCTCCGTAAAATACTACGAAATATAACTTTCTTGAAGCCAAGTCTAAAAGATTCGTTAAAGATCGCATAGAGAACAGGATTCATGGCAGAGTTAAGCACTTGAAGCCAAAGGATAAATGGAATTAACCAGATGGGTAAAGTGCGTGCCAGCTCTGTAGCCAGGGGATGTATCCAGACGAAAATAAATTGCGGTGCCCAACAGACAAAAAATGAAAGTACAACAGCAATCATCATTTTGGTGATTTTCCGTGCCATACGATTTGCTCTTTGTTGTTGCAAAGCGCTCGGTTCTCCAGGAACATGCCTTGTCCACAGATGATAGATGATGATTGGGTAAAGTATTAGCATCACTGTAAATGGAAGCAGAAAGCATATGCTCAGCGTGATCACCATACTTGAAGGAACTTGTTCTTCGTGGCAGACTGAGATGTTCAGTCTTGAACTCGAGGAACTTTTACCGCCATTTTCGTGCCACATGTGTATGGGAAGTAAAATAGCCGCGAGCCATATTGCAGGAATAATAACCTTTGTGAATTTGGACCAAGGTTGGTGCTTTAGTGGTCGGATCACAGCCAAAAAGCGATCTGTTTGTATCCCAACCAGGCTAAAACTACAGCCCAGGAGAGCGACCAAAACAAGATAGAAATTCAGTTTGCATAGCAAACCTCCAAATGTCCCAGGAATCCAAACTAATCCAACAAACAAGAACTTGATTAATGGCGGGCACGTCACTGATGTCGTTACCAAGTCTCCACAGGCCATGTTGAGTATAAGAAGGAATGTGGTGGACTTCAATAGCTGATCCTTCCTGATTATATGGATCACCATCGAGTTACCGAGGAAGGATACAATAAATGCCAGGCTGGTCAGGAACGTGAAGACTACTTTGATAGTTAGGGAAAAGTCTGGCGATTTAAGGATAAACAAAGATAGGGAAAAAAGCAAAGTGGAACTCAGAATTCAACTTTTCTCGATGTTCAAAAAGGTCAAAAAGCCTCAAATTAAGTTAGTATAAGCATGACTTCACTGCTAAAGAATGAGAAACTTATTCAGTTTTCCTCTTTGACACCAAGCCTGGATCCTTTTACGAAGAAAACACGATGATAAAATTTAGTCAAAGCTCATAAATACACAATTTAAAGCACTTTGTATTGCCTAGAAAACGCCATAAAGTCAGGGTGGTAAGTTGCAACTGTTTTTTTAACGCCAGACTTGTGGACCACTCGAAACACATTATTAAAATTTTCGGTTAAAATCCAGGGTTTATGATTTTTTTCATATAATACCAAAGCAATTAATTTTTTATGAATGTCTTTTAATGTGATATAATAAGATCAAAGTATTTTTCCTTTTGGTTTTCTAGGTCTGAAATTAATTTAAATCCAAACAACTATTGTGATATTAAAAAAACTCCAGATTTTTGAAATTTCTTAAAGCCGTTTATTAATATCTGCAATAAAACGGACCAAAATCGGTGATAGAAAATTAAATATTATGCACCGAATAAAAAAAGCTTTTCTGGCTAATGACGATTTTATCCTACCTTGTGTTCGGCGGTCTGTACTATTTTCCATTCTAGGTGCTGCTTTTTTGGTAATGGTCAAACTAATTTGCAGCTTTATCCTCTCTTGGAACTGCGAATTATTACAACGCCTCTGAAACTGGCCAAGTAATTATTCTGAATTAATTAACGTGTTTTGTACAACGGCTGAAGTTTGTTTATTCTTCTCTTTGTGTAGCCTCATATATATTTGGTTAAAAATAAATATATATGATCAGTTTTTTTAATTAGAAAAGTTGCTTCTTAGCGATCTGCTTGTGGATGCCATGAAGTATCTTAACAGGTTTAAGATCATTGAAACTACAAGAAAGTTTTTCTTAATATGGTAATTTAATTTAATCTCGCACTTCCCAAACCAGAGATACGATCAGCTAGATACAATTTAGCACAGAAAAGTAAATGGAGAGACTTGAGATTAATGCGGAAACTTTCCCCTGTACAAATACAAACAAAGAAGGAAGGCACGTACTCATCAATTATAAATTCACAGACAAAAAATTAAATTTAACGCAAAAAGTTAATAACCGACACCTCTTTTAAGTTACTGTTTGTCCTTTATTTGAGTGTTTATTCAGTGGAGACCTTTTTAGCATTGACTTTTCAAGGATGTCGGACTAAAACGTTTCAGTTAGAGTGGCAGTCAAGAGCGCTTCTGGCGCTTGAACCTTCTCTGACGAGTTTTTCACTGTCGATCGCCATTATCATTTACATTATTTCGCACCTTACAGCTGTATACACAAACGGCAATTGGTTTGCACTTAGACTGCAAAACAGTCCGTATTTTGGCGTATTCAAGTACGCACCAAGCAGTGAAACAAAAGGTCTGGAACTTCTTTACTGATTGTGACAAAAAACCGACTGTTTTGCAGTCTAGTTTGCACTAGAAAAGAAGAAGTTTAGCAGCTTTTTAAAAAACCTCTAATTTCATTCGTTTTGTTTGTTGTAAAGCCTCATAACAGTACAGCATTGCAGCCCGGCGGAACTTGTAACTCAAGACATCACCTGCTCCATGAGGCCACGTGAGTGTGAGAGCTAAGAGCTCAATCTTGCTGTAACATGACTTCTCTTGGGCTGTATCATGGCTATCTAGAAAAAGGCGGAAATTTGACAGGAGACAAAAAGAAAAACGTGAGAAAACTAACATGCATATAGCTGTAACAGGCACAAAAATACATTCAACAGAAAATGATAAAAAGCAACACTTTCTTGTGGTACTGTATATTATGCTGTACCAGGGGTTTTAACTTCTCAGCGGGGGCATGGACTCCTGTTCTCAGTCGTTCAATATTTTTTTGCTTACATCTTGAAGGTACGAATTTGTCTTATCATTTTTTTAAGATCATGATTCTAACTTGGAATACCGTATTTCCTCGAATAATAGCCGGGGGCAATTATTTCTTTTTTCGTACAAAAAGGGGGCGATTATTGGACGGAGGCGATTATTTAAAATATTGCTCACTGGAAGTCGTGCCCTCAATATTATGCTATATTTTCCTATTAAATCAAAAAATAATCACGTCAGTATACTGATGGGCTCCTGACTGAACATGGGCTTTTTTCAAAGTATTCCAAGTTTAGTTCCTTTATTAATTTTCAGAGCTTGAATCGTTACTGATCAGTTTTGCTGAGTCTCATTGCACTTCAACTTGACAGGAGGGATAAAAGGAAGAGAAGATGGCGAGAGGGGCAGGGGAGGGACGATTATTCGTGGGAGGCGATTTATAAGAGGCGATATACGGTCAGCTCGTCAACAGGCCACTTACAAAAAGCTCGAAATTTACGCGAGGGACTGGGAATAGACAGCTGGCGCGGGAGATTTACATGAAAATAGCGTGACGAAGATAAACAAAGTCTTACAAATTTTCGCCAAATTCGGCGTCCGTTTGGGTTTATTTTCCAGTACTCGACACCTATGGAACGACAAGAAGTAGTTCTAAGCGACGGAGATGGTTTTCAGAGTACTCAAACGCTCTTTAAAAGAGTCATGGCCGTATGTTACATACAGACCGTGATCACGGTAATCAAAAACTCGAGGAAGACAGATCGTCATAAGTGAGCTGCTCTATTTTGCAGTAAACTTGTTTAATGTTGTTTTAACTGATCTTCACACTCTGTACAAGATCTGTGTTAGGCAATGCTTAAAATGTGTGTATTCTTTGTGAAATTGCAGGAGAGGAACTGGTTTCTATTCAAAGCTAACGTTGGATGACTTCGGCGAAATTTTTGGCATCTTTACGAATAACCACGTGTTGAATTCAATCGGTGAAGCTGAAAATGCATTTGCTACTTTTGGTTATGACGACGCGAGCGGCGGTCAGAGAGTGAAATTAAGACCTGAAGTAATCTTTCGAACGAACAAAGTGAGTTTATTTAGAAAGCAATAGTGAAAGTGAAACATTTCTGCCATCTGCTCAAAAGTTTATGATGTATTCACACTTGGTGCTCTCCAGCTGGCACCATGCCAAAGCATGATACTCACAAGCTACTAATGTGAACACAACTTTTTTGTTGAGTACCTACCCACATGAGACAGTGACCAGCATAATTAGGCAAGGTATCCCTGCCTGAGGACAATGTTAAGACCTGGTACTTGGCCAGGAACTATTACTTGGCACTGGGTCCCTGTGTGCATAAGTTCTTGGTTAACCTCATAGCACTTTGACCATAATCCGGTTATGCTCACATTACAAAAGCCATCTGAAACAAGTAGATGACTGGGTACCGTATTTACTCAAATAAGTGCCCAACTTCGAATTAGCGCCCACCTCGAATAAGCGCTCATTTTAAAGGCAGAAAAAGTTAATAGGGACCTTAAGCAAGGACGACGGCAGTGAAGTTCTTCATGGTTTCACTGTTGCTGGTGGATCTCCACCCTAATAAAATACCCCTCTTTCTTAGGTGTCAAGAATGTCAGAAGTGTATTGGAATTGGGGTCAAAACATGGAAATTAAGGTCGTGAAAATTGTAGTTGATGTCGCAGAAATTAAAGTTTACTGAAATTAAAAAGCATTAATTTCCTGTAATAAGGTATTTTAGGTTTCGCTCATTTTGGTGGCTGTTCTCTTTGTTAGAATTTTGATAAATTTTGTGACACAGCTCCTTAAATGTTCTTCTTCTGTGAGATAAGCTCTGCGAAATCTTAGAAGAAAAACAGAATGTTGGTACATGATTATCAGTGAGCTGAAATAATACCTAATAATATTTTATTGTGACAAAATCTGGAAAGTTTCTCTTCATCATGAGGTTTTCACTGCCATTGACTTCTTTGTTACTCAAAGTTCCTATGTATCATTAAACCTTCAGTGGTTTATATTATTGTTATTTTTTATAACCTATGATTTCACTTCTAACAAGTACCCTTACCGTTTATTTCCAGGAACTAGACTACACATTTGTCGGCGTTAAAAAAAAAGAGATTGATGATTTGAACCTAAGCATACAGCCCATTGCTATGGAGCCAGAACCAGAACTTAGAAAGGATGATGGAATCTTTGTATTTCAGCATCCCAAAGGTCAACCTAAACAGTACAGCCAAGACAAAATATTGGGAGTTCAACCACCTTTTGTCTTCTACAAAGCTGACACGGAAACTGGTTCCTCTGGATCCCCTGTACTCACAACAGTTGGGTTGAAGCTGGTGGGAATTCATCACAAGGGCAGTGAAGAATTGAGCTACAACAAAGGGACATTGTGTAGTGAAGTCTTGCAGCATCTGAATAGTGGAATGTGTATGTCACTTTAGTTACTTCTGAGTTATGTCTTGGAACGAACTTGTGGCACAAATTTTATTGATAACATATTTTGCCACCGTTTTCAGTCTTAATGTGTCTTAGTTCTGTGGTTTTCATGTTGCTTTGAACTTAATGACTTTTTGGTTGATGGTGGAAGTTTGATACAATGGGTCCCTTTATATTAATGAAACCCCATTAAAACGAGCAATATTCCTCCCATCTTTGCAAAAATTGCAAAATGCCAGCTTTTTTTGTCAGGCTAGATACATAATTATACTAGCATATCTTGATTGCTATTTATTTTTTTCACAGATACACAGCCTTCTGGAGGTTTCTCTGACAGCCAGGATAAGGAAATTTTTGAGGGTATTTTATCATTGACCAATCTTAGAGCATTTTATTGTTCCTCCATCCACACCTTACCCCGTAGAGTAAATTTATCCACTGTTCTCAGGACAATAATAATTCCAAAAAGGGTTGCCATCTTTTCACTCTGCAAAAATTTGCTTTGGAGATTCCTCCAGCAAATATCTGTTAGCTATAAAAATGGGCAAAAAAAACCAAATTATTTTACTCATCACTAGAAATTCCTCAGGAAAATATCTTTGAGCTACAAAAATGTGTAAAAAATTATTTCACTTATTACTGGCACTATTGTATGGCCCTCACTTTTATGCGTGGTTCCTTTAAATATTTGTACCTACTCCATGGAGAGTCAGTAGAAATTCTGACGTGAAAAGGGGGAGGGGGCTCTTAAAAATGAATATCTGAATTCTAAATTCGGGGCTCAAAAAAAATTCCTGTCCAGTAGTCTAAGACTAGAAGTTTTTTTTTTGCTGGGCATGTAACTTGTAAAGCTTACTAGGTAAGCTTTGAAAGTTGCCCAGTAGGTAGGGGTTCAGGCAAATCATTCTCTAAACTAATTCATTAACAAAGATGAGCAAGAAGTGGCCCTGGTCAAGAAAAATATGAGAGCTGCTTGCATTGCCCAAAGGACAAGCTGGGATTCAATTTTTTAGCACAGTAAACTGAAATTTATTCAGAGAGGTGTGAAAATGTGGTCTCACCCCGGGGGGTACTCCGGATTTCAAGTGACAGGGATGAAGGATTTTTTGGGGTTTGAAATTTTCGATTTCAGGATTTTTTGGGGAAGGAAAATTTTGGCAAGTATTTTTTTGGGAAGCTTGATTTAAGTAGGGATTTTTTTGGGTATTCAAAACTAATGTTTCTATTTTTCATGTTATATCATTTAATGCTTTCTGGAAATTTTTAGGGCTCGCAAATTCGGCATGGGGATTTTTTTGGGGTTAAATTTTGGTCCAGGGATTCTTTTTGGGGTTTGTTTAAACCCCAAGGGATTTTTTCGGGTTTTGATTGTTGCCCCCATTCGATCACACCTGTCACGTGAAATCCGGAGTATCCCCCTGGGGGGTCTCAACCAAAACCCTTTATTGAGGGTGATGTATAGATGTTTCCTATAGATAAGGAGGTAACCCTGTTTTGTAAGTGGGTGTATTTGAAAAACTGACAGGTGCATTGTTATTTTCTCTACACAGATAACCCTCCAGCCAAAAAGTTAAAATTAGAGAGCAAAGAAAGTCAACAGCCATCTGAGGATGACCTTACGGATTTGTCGAAGGAAATTACTCCTTTTTGGAAACATCTTGGACGTAAGCTAAAAATACCCAATACAAGTATTATGGACATTCAGAGTGACAATATTCAATTCCCAGGGGTAAAAGAGAAAGCCTTTCAGATGTTAATGGTCTGGGTGGATTTGCGAGGGGAGTTAGCTACATTTGGTGAATTATCAAAGGCACTGAATGCACTTGATAAGAACAGGCTAGCTCAGAAATACTGCTCTTTATAACAATCATTGGAAATGTTAGCCCATGCAGTAAGGCTGGTTTTATGTACTGGTACATTATAATTTTTGACACGGATCTGGAGAAAGAATTTGAGGAACCAAAAAATCACCCATGTAGGATGAATTGTAGCCTTGGACTAGCAGATCCTTTTGGCTAATAATTAGTGGTCTGTAAACCCACTATTAGCTGATGGTTAAGTGATGTTTGGGAAAGAACTTTGTAACATATGAAAGGTGGATTCTACCTGAATTCTCAGAGAGACACAAATGTGTGGGGATCAAGTATTTTGACTTCCAAATGTTTAGTCTATATATTTCTGGGAAACTGCCCACCTACCCCTCCCCTAAGCCAACATCAACACTTACCTCTCACCTAGGCAAAAATGTTGGCTTAGGAGAGGGGTAGGTGGGGAGTTTCCCAGAAACAGTTTATGATCTGGAAATTGAAAACCCAGACAACTGGTGTCCAGGTGAATTTGCTTTGGAATTGAACTCAGATCGCATGAAAATTTCTTGTATCTTTCAGTTACCAACAAAATTTTCCAAAAATATCATTTTAGGCGTTTTTTTACCGATTAACTCCATACAATTTTTTAAAAAGCTAGAATTAGGTAGGTTTCTCGCTATTTAGTCCCAAGTTCTTGACGAGAACAGTTCCTTGATACAAGAGACAACCTCTATTCTGATGGTATCCACACTGAAAGGCTTACAACTGCATATACATTGTAAATAGTATTTTTAAGACAGTTTTATTACAGTTGACATTATATATTATTTATTTACGTTGAATATTCTCATGTAAGTACGTCCATGTTAGTCATGTCTTGTCAGTGATATGAATTATTGTTCCAAACTTTCCATGTATTCCTTACATGTATATCTTATCTTACAAAGTCAGTACAAACCCACCGAATTTCCACAAACTACACCTTGAAATTGGGTGATGAAGTAGTAAAAGTTGTTGTGAGAAAGATGATTATTGGAATGGTTGCAGTCATTACTAGGCTAGGAATGTTGAAAACTAAGCTTGAGTTTGAGAAGTCTACAGAGAGATGTTGCACTCTTCTGTAGAAACTCTACTAAACTGAAAATAGAGAAATGTTTATATATTTTGGACTCTAGTTTGGCTTTCTTAGTAAGCGAAAAAAGCATTTTCATATTGACAATGTCAATTGCTTTTCCACCTTTTCCATAATGCCATTCGTTTCTTTATTTATTGGTAGACTTACAGCTGTAGTCTGTACTTCATGGTATTCTCTTTTATGTACTTTAGAATAAACTGTTTTTTCGTTTATGTGCTTTGTTTTAAGCTTTGTTTTCAGCCACGATACATGTAGTTTTGCAGAAACAGTACGACCAAAGTAGTAGCCTGGTATTACTATCTTGTTCCTCTCTTGGTAAGAAGAAACTGATAAGACAACCAATCCTATTATCAGCCACCGTGATAGCTGCTCATACACCACAAACCTACAACTGTAGGAGCTAAGGCGGGCCCAGAAGCCACTGATATTTGAGGTACAAAAACAATAAGGGATTATCCGAATAGCTGTATTGCCTCCTAAACTTAGTTACGATAGTCAACATCATCATCATCATCATCATTATCATCAGCATCATCGTCATCATCATTGTAGTTGATGGAGATTGGACATATCACCTCGCAGTCTGGGTCGGAAAGGATGTCGATTATCTTTCTCATGTCCTTTAGAAGTCGTACTTTAAACAACTCATTTGCTGCAAGGCTATTGATGAAAATGCACACTTCGCATTTTTAAGTGAAAGTGTACTTGAATGATGGAACTTTCTTGTGCATTTTTCCGTGAAAGAGGGTATACTCCATCTTTTTCATTGCCAGCCTTATGTCGTTCACGAGCACAGTCAGTTTATCCCAAAGTCGTGTTTCTTCATCTCCACTCTCTGGGTTGTCTGCGGTGGAACAGTGAGGTGGAACAGTGTTGCTGGAACAGTAGAAACGTTATGGTGGAACAAATTTCCAGTGTCCCACTATCACTGTCCACTGTTCCACCATTACTCTACCAATATTCCATCAGCACTGTTCCACTGTTCCACCAACGCTGTTCCACTGTTCCACCACACCATTCCATCATCACTGTTCCACTGTTCCACCCCACTGTTCCCACATAACTGTTCCACTGTGCCCTCACACTGTTCCACCATTACTGTTCCACTGTTTTATTACACTGTTCCACCATCAAAGTTCCACTGTTCCACCACAGTGTTCCACCGTGACTGTTCCACTGTTCCACCACACTGCTTCACCACACTGTTCCTTTTTTCCACCACACTGTTCCACAATGACTGTTCCACTGTTCCACCACACTGCTTCACCACACTGTTCCTTTTTTCCACCACACTGTTCCACAATGACTGTTCTCCTGTTCCACCACACTGTTCCACAATGACTGTTCCACTTTTCCACCTCACTGTTCCACCATGCCTGTTCTCCTGTTCCACCATTCTGTTCCACCATTGCTGTTCCACTGTTCCACCACACTGTTCCACCATTACTGTTTTACTGTTCCACCACACTGTTCCACTTTTGCACCACAGTGTTCCACCTTACTGTTCCACTGTGCCCCCACACTGTTCCACCATTACTGTTCCACTGTTTCATTACACTGTTCCACCATCAATGTTCCACTGTTCCACCACAGTGTTCCGCCATTACTGTTCCACTGTCCACCACACTGTTCCACCATGACTGTTCCACTGTTCCACCACACTGTTCCACTTTTCCACCACATTGTTCCACTATGACTGTTCTCCTGTTCCACCACACTGTTCCACCATGACTGTTCCACTTTTCCACCTCACTGTTCCACCATGGCTGTTCTCCTGTTCCACCATTCTGTTCCACCATCAATGTTCCACTGTTCCATCACACTGTTCCACCATCAATGTTCTACTGTTCCACCACACTGTTCCACCATGACTGTTCCACTTTTCCACCACACTGTTCCACCATGACTGTTCCACTGTTCCACCACACTGTTCCACCATGACTGTTCCCTTTTCCACCACACTGTTCCACCATGACTGTTCCACTGTTCCACCACACTGTTCCACCATCAATGTTCCACTGTTCCACCACACTGTTCCACCATGACTGTTCCACTGTTCCACCACACTGTTCCACCATCAATGTTCCACTGTTCCACCACAATGTTCCACCATGACTGTTCCACTGTTCCATTACACTGTTCCACCTTACTGTTCCACTGTGCCCCCCCACTGTTCTACCATTACTGTTCCACTGTTTCATTACACTATTCCACCACCAATGTTCCACTGTTCCACCTTGACTGTTCTATTGTTCCACCACACTGTTCCACCATGACTGTTCCACTGTTCCACCACACTGTTCCAACATCACTGTTCCACTGTTCCACCACACCACTGTTCCACCATCACTGTTCCACTGTTCCACCACACTGTTCCACCATGACTGTTCCACTGTTCCACCCCACTGTTCCACTGTTCCACTGTTCCACTGTTCCACTGTTCCACAATTACTGTTCCACATTTCCACCATTACTTTTCCACTGTTCCACCATCACTGTTCCAGTTCCACTACACTGTCCCACCATGACTGTTCCACTGTTCCACAACACTGTTCCACCTTACTGTTCCACTATATCTTTACACTGTTCCACCATCAATGTTCCACTGTTCCACCACACTGTTCCACCATCAATGTTCCACTGTTCCACCACAATGTTCCACCATGACTGTTCCACTGTTCCATTACACTGTTCCACCTTACTGTTCCACTGTGCCCCCCTACTGTTCCACCATTACTGTTCCACTGTTTCATTACACTGTTCCACCACCAATGTTCCACTGTTCCATTACACTGTTCCACCATGACTGTTCCACTGTTCCACCACACTGTTCCAACATGACTGTTCCACTGTTCCACCACACTGTTCCACCATCACCATTCCACCATCACTGTTCCACTTTTCCACCACACTGTTCCACCATGACTGTTCCACTGTTCCACCACACTGTTCCACCTTACTGTTCCACTGTGCCCCCACACTGTTCCACCAATACTGTTCCACTGTTTCATTACACTGTTCCACCATCTATGTTCCACTGTTCCACCACACTGTTCCACCATTACTGTTTTACTGTTCCACCACACTGTTCCACTTTTGCACCACAGTGTTCCACCTTACTGTTCCACTGTGCCCCCACACTGTTCCACCATTACTGTTTCACTGTTTCATTACACTGTTCCACCATCAATGTTCCACTGTTCCACCACAGTGTTCCGCCATTACTGTTCCACTTTTCCACCACATTGTTCCACTATGACTGTTCTCCTGTTCCACCACACTGTTCCACCATGACTGTTCCACTTTTCCACCTCACTGTTCCACCATGGCTGTTCTCCTGTTCCACCATTCTGTTCCACCATTACTGTTCCACTGTTTCATCACAGTGTTCCACCATCAATGTTCCACTGTTCCACCACACTGTTCCACTTTTCCACCACATTGTTCCACTATGACTGTTCTCCTGTTCCGCCACACTGTTCCACCATGACTGTTCCACTTTTCCACCTCACTGTTCCACCATGGCTATTCTCCTGTTCCACCATTCTGTTCCACCATTACTGTTCCACTGTTTCATCACACGGTTCCACTATCAATGTTCCACTGTTCCACCACACTGTTCCACCATGACTGTTCTACTGTTCCACCACACTGTTCCACCATGACTGTTCCACTTTTCCACCATGACTGTTCCACTTTTCCACCACACTGTTCCACCTTACTGTTCCACCATTTCATTCCACTGTTCCATTATCAATGTTCCACTGTCCCACCATAGTGTTCCACCATGACTGTTCCACTGTTACACCACAATACAATACAATGCAATACAATGTTCTTTATTTTGAGACGGTAGATATACATGATTAACCCAGTTAAGAGTTTTCTAACACATGGCCCACACTGTTCCACCATCACTGTTCCACTGTTCCACCACACTGTTTCACTGTTCCACCACACTGTTCCACCATGACTGTTCCACTTTTCCACCACACTGTTCCACCATGACTGTTCTACTGTTCCACTACACTGTTCCACCATGACTGTTCTACTGTTCCACCACACTGTTCCACCATGACTGTTCCACTGTTCCACCACACTGTTTCACCTTACTGTTCCACTGTGCCCCCACACTGTTCCACCATTACTGTTCCACCGTTTCATTACACTGTTCCATCATAGTGTTCCACCATGACTGTTCCACTGTTCCACCATGACTGTTCCACTGTTTCACCACACTGTTTCACTGTTCCACCACACTGTTCGACCATGACTGTTCGACTTTCCCACTGCACTGTTGCACCATGACTGTTCTACCGTTCCACCATTACTGTTCCACTGTTTCATTACACTTTTCCACCATCAATGTTCCACTGTTCCACTGTTCCACCACACTGTTCCACCATGACTGTTCCACTGTTCCACCACACTGTTACACCATGACTGTTTCACTGTTCCACCACACTGTTCCACCTCACTGTTCCACTGTTCCACCATTACTGTTCCACTGTTCCAGCATCACTGTTCCACTGTTCCACCACACGGTTCCACCATGACTGTCCCATTGTTCCACCATCACTGTTGCCTTGTTCCACGACACTGTTCCACCCTGACTGTTCCACTTTTCCACTACACTGTTCCACCTTCACTTTTCCACCACACTGTTCCACCATCACTGTTTCACTGTTCAACGACACTGTTCCACAATTACTGTTCCACTGTTCCATTATTACTGTTCCACTGTTCCACCATCACTTTTCCACTGTTCCGCCACACTGTTCCACCATGACTGTTCCACTGTTCCATTACACTGTTCCACCTTTACTGTTCCACCACACCGTTTTGCCATCACTGTTCCACTGTTCCACCACACTGTTCTACAATTTACCGTTGTACTGTTTCACTGTTCCACGATTACTGTTCCACTGTACCACCATCACTGTTCCACTTTTCTACCACGCTGTTCCACTATCACTGTTCCACCATCACTGTTCCACTGTTCCACCACACTGTTCCACAATGACTGTTCCACTCTTCCACCACAGTGTTCCACCATGACTTTTCCACTGTTCCACCACACTGTTCCACCCTGACTGTTTCACTGTTCCACCACACTGTTCCACCTTACTGTTCCACCTGCCCCCACACTGTTCCACCATTACTGTTCTACTGTTCCACCATCACTGTTCCACCTTGACTATTCCACTTTTCCACCACACTGTTCCACTATGACTGTTCCACTGTTCCACCACACTGTTCCACCATCAATGTTTCACTGTTCCACCACAATGTTTCACCATGACTGTTCCACTGTTCCATTACACTGTTCCACCTTACTGTTCCACTGTTCCACCACACTGTTCCACCATTACTGTTCCACTGTTCCACCACACTGTTCCACCATTACTGTTCCACTGTTTCATTACACTGTTCCACCACCAATGTTCCACTGTTCCACCATGACTGTTCTATTGTTCCACCATACTGTTCTACCATGACTGTTCCACTGTTCCACCACACTGTTCCAACATGACTGTTCCACTGTTCCATCTTGACTGTTTCACTGTTCCACCATCACTGTTCCACCACACTATTGCACCATGACTGTTCTACTGTTCCACCACACTCGTCCACCTTACTGTTCCACTTGTTTACGCCCACACTGTTCTGTAAAAGAGCAGTTTTAACCCTGCCATTTTTGGGGGGACAAGCATGTTTTACCATTTTGTTCCACCATGAATGTTCCACTCGTTCCATATGGTTTCGTGAATAACATGTTCCACTCAGAAACAGTGAAAAAAGAAATGAGTTCCAATGTTTCACCACACAAATGTTTCAACATTTTCCAAAATCCATGACTTCTAAGTTTTTTTTTGGCTGATCTTTGAACTTCCAGCTCAAAGTTGCGGTTGACTAGGTAATCTCTTTTTTCTAAAATACCCCGGATTCAACGGATTTCGCGGATATCGATTAGGAATAGACGTGATTTTAAAATACTTCGTTTTTTAACTGTAAGTTTCTAATATTTGATATATTGACATATCCTTCTCTTTCACAGTTAACATTTAAAAAAAGGAGTATTAAATGACACAAGTTCCCTTCAAATCCGTGATATCCACCTTAACCACAATTATTGTTGCTGGCCTTGAACTGATCTGGCAACAATTTCCGCACAATCCCTGATATCCACCGTGACCACAAGTTTCTTACTCTCTTTAAACTTTCAGTTTTAAGTTGTGGCTAATATCTTTTTCTAAAGTTCGGCGGATTTTACAAATTTCAAGGATGTTTAGAATATACATGACCTAACACTCCCTTTCTTGATTGAAAGTATCTTATACGTATCATATCCATGTATTCTCTTTGTAGATGTATGAAATGAAACAAATTTCGTGAAATCCACCTTAACAAAAGTTTTCTTGTTGGCACACGAACCTCCAGTTTGACGCGTTAGCTGCTCGGCAGAAATCCTTTTTCTCTAAATTAGGCGGCATTGACGGATTTGTCGGTTTTCTAAAAGTTCCCTTGAGAATAGTGAAGGTTTTGTCAAGAGAGAATGTTTTGGACCTTTTTTCTTATTTTGAGAGTTTCGAGGATATCGCTCACATTAATGCCCTTAGATTGCACATGAACTTCCAGTTTGAAGTGTTAGCTGCTAAATTAGGTGGCATTGACGGATTTGTCGGTTTTCTAAAAGTTCCATTTAGAATAGTGAGAGATTAGTCAAGAGAGAATGTTTTGGACCTTTTTCCTTATTTTCCAAGTTTCAGGGATATCGATCCCATTGATACCCTTAAATTCAGCAAGCAAACTCGAAGAAAAGTAATTGCGCTATAAAGTAATTTGGCTATCATGTCCGTCCAAAAAGATCGCTTTTTAAACGGGTTGACAACGCTTAACGAGAGGTATTTAGCTCAAAAACTCAGAGGGAACAGAAATTTGGGAAACGATCATCATCCATTCTTGTGTTTACCAACAGATCGTTTCCAAATCAATTACAGAGCACAAACAAAAAAGAAAGTATATTTCGGTAAAAGGCTACCAAAAGGATATCGAAGAGATGAAAATGGTGTCAAGTTTGTTGTTTGCCAGCAGATCGTTTCCGGCCAAACAGGGCTGACAAAACGTCTGGCTCTAAAACTCCGCGCTAAATTGAAGTTTCTTAGCAACTGCTAAGATAGTGAGAAAAATGTCTTTTCTCAGTCTTAATTACTTATGGAAATTTGTGCTACGCTTTGCTTTAAGTAGCCAAACTTGGGAAATGAATATTAATTTTGTCAAAGTGTATTGATAGCTACACTTGTACTGCACCTTGCTTCTGTGGACTTCCGTCCTTTTCAGTTTTAGGGTATACTAACATGTCTTTCGGCAGTGTACGGAGTGTCATTTGTACGCTACTGGTTTTAGCGGGGCTGTGGATTTTATTCTTGGTAGCTGCTCATCTTATTTTGGACATAGAGCAGGGAAGAAAGTACTTTGAAGGTCTTAAGCTCGTGAAGTTTGGCGGAGGAGAAAATAAAAGAGAGTCTTTACGATTACAAGAAGAGCTTTACTTGGAAAAGATTGAAGGTCAGTAAAGATATTTTACAGATCGCCAGCGCAGTAGTCTTATCAGTTGATTGTAGTTTCAATATTCTGTCAAAGACAAAATTCAGTTAAGTTCTACCTAAAGGACAATATTAAAACTCTCGGTGAAGAAAAAGCAAACTCCAAAGAGATTTTTACTTCGAAAATGAGAACCTCCACTTACTTTACCCCAGTCTTCCTGAAAGTTCATCGCTTCGCTTTATCTCCTTTCGCGTCGAACTCAGGTAGAAGAGCAGTTTTCAATGGTTGTACGAAACAAGAGTTTTCTGAGTTTAGATGGTACAACCGAGAATTGAATGCTATGTCCGCATTATACCAGATATACAGCTTTGCGCCCTCACGGAAACTATACCAGATAGAGCCTCTGTTCACACATAAGAACGGTGATCACGGCGCGATTTCTGTAACGAAGCGAAGCTGCTCTGACCTTGGGATCGTAGACTGCGAGCAGTCTTTCTTTTTCTTCAGATTTAGTGAGAGCAATACACGCGCGCGGGAGCGGCGAAGCCGCGAGACGCCATCAGTCACGCGCGTGGCCATTTGCGTGTCCCACGTTTTGCTCGACGGACTACAGAAAAAAGAGAGACTGCTCGCAATCTATTGGGATCGTCTCATATCGGATAGGTTTCTGTCACTTTGTTTCGCAGTGTGAACGGGTCAATCGGACCGTAGCGGAAGTAACTGGGGAGCTTTAGCAACGACCACGGCGACCGCAGCGAGAACGGCAAAACTAATCTCGTACCCAGATCTCCCACGGCCAAGGGAGAGTGAGATCTGGGTACGAGATTACGGCAAAACAGCAATAGGTTTAGTTAGCAAGACAACAACTTTGCACGTGCATCACGCATTTTTGTACATTTCTTTGCCGTCACTGCACGACTACGAGGTCAAAATGCCTAATTTCACGTTTTATGGAGAACGTAAACAAGGAACGACGAATTTTTCTTTCTCTTTCTAAACTTGAGTCCGGTCGCCAAGAAATCAACTCCAGGGAAACTCGCCCACATTTCACATTTTCAGTGAACTGGAATAAACGTGACAAAGTTTGAAAAAACGCGAATCCATTTTAAAAGTGACGTTTTCGCTGCCGTCGCCGTCGTCGATGCTAAAGCTCCCTAATGAGAAGCTGCGACAACTGGAACCCACTGAGGCGAAGTAAATATTTGGGAGTGAGGATAGCGATTTAGAGCACCGAACCCAAACATTTGTCAGTTGCTTCAGCAAATATCTAACTGTCCTAGCTGTTCCTCAGTAGGATGCTTAAAATGCGTGCAATTCCACTGTTGAGATTTGCTTCATTAAAACCTTTTCTAATCACAGATCATTTTAGAAGAGCCACACACAATGTGAGCACAGCTTATACTGACAGAACATGTTACTATAAGCGAGTTAAAATATTCTTTCAAATGCACAACAGATGAGGACGAAGTGGATTGTGAAATACCAGAAGATAAATCCTATCCAGACTGCAAAAACAGAGTGGAGGTAAGTGGGTTTTAAGGATACAAATGTACCAGCAAACGATTATTTTGAGGCATGGCTTCAGATTAACGTTTTATATGTACTTTTATTCTTTGTTAACAAACTAACGATTAGTTTAACGTTTTTATTTTAAGCTGCTAAGAAACAACTGGCAAAAGAACCCATGTTACATGGAATATGACGTAGATGGTACTACTTGCTCCTTGGTTATATATCTCAGCGAGGTAAGTCTTTTACTGAAGGCGGTTACGACTGCTTCTCTCTCAGCCGCTTGTCACAAAAGTTATTGTCTTTTAACTCTTGTTTTTCCTTATATTTACTCTTATTCTTTTTCTAGGTGGAGTCGTGGTGTCCCCGGTTAACTTGGCGAAAATATATGAAAAAGAAAGAACGAAGAAGACAAAAGGTAACCTTCACTTGCAAATGACCCTCATTCTTTCATTGTCAGAGTTCTAGCCGTTATAGCCTTCATTTTTATGTATGAAAAATTTCGTTTTTTGTCTTAGGCAATACTACAGAATAACTCTGATAAACTGCTCTCCAAGTTAAACTCAATACCTGGATCTCAGCCAATCAGATCGCGGATATTAAGCATGTGGTCGTACTGGCAAGATAGCCTCCATTTCATGCGAAGCAAGGATAATATTGACATGCGCAGTGAGAAGAAGGTACATTCTAACTCTCATCGAGTTAAACAACACTGGTTACTGGATGTGAATCCATTTATACGGTCTTGAAGACTTGAGATTCTCGCTTCGTAGCTTACTGTTTTAGACGCCTAGCTGCAAATTGGTAGCTAAGGAGAAAAAAGGAACCCGCGTTACTGTCGCAAAAGAGATAAAGATTTATTATCTGGGGAATATTGAACATCGTCGCAGTATAGTAGGCGATGAAATACATATGAGACTCATCTTTGCCGGCGCAAGCTTATTTTGAATATTCAAAGCACTATCGAATATCCATGTACGACCACCTTCGGTAACCGATCACCTTCCATAAGTGACCATCTATAAAAGACACCAAAATTTTCCCAGTCAAACCCCTATAAATAATAATAGTTAGAATCTCTCGTAAGTGACTGGACCAATTTTGGGGATGACACATGGTCTGATCTGTATGTTTGCTGTACTTAGAGTATGTGAAAATCTTGCAAAAAGTAGATTTGTCCAAACCTCTTCTCTTAAGACACTCCCCGTGGTTCAGTTCTCGTAAGCCATCACTTTTTAATTTAATTTAATTTAATTTTGTTAGATTCGCCAATTATTGCCAGGGTCACCGCAACAGCGTGACGCCAATTACTGCGGGCCCGTAACAGTCCCTACCCCCATGAGAGATAGACCACCACACCGGGGACTACGTCCCCTACTCTTTACGAACAATGTGAGGGTTCTTTAACGTCCCAAAGAATTTATATATGCAAGGGTTGTGAGACGGGGCCTATGATTTATCGTCCTTACCCGAGAAGACTAGAAAGTCTAACCGTTTGCAGATGTCTTCACTAAGGGAGCACTTTCTCTTCAATTTCGCATTTGGGGTCGTCGCTTACGAAACATTCAACTGCACTGTATTTATTGCAGATTTTGGTATTTATTGGCCTGCTGATGGGTGCTCCTAAAAACCAAACTAAACTGACAGATGAGCTGCTCCAATGGAGCGATCTTCTTGCCTCTCTTTATGTTCTTGGACATGACGTCAATGTTAAGACCGACCGTGTGGAATTACTTAGGTACATATAAAGTACTAACTATCGACGCAGTCTGGCGACATACTCTTAGCTACTCTTAGTGAGGTGTGTGCATTCCACCTGATACAATGCTTTCCTACATATTGACTTAAAATCAGGCAAGTCGGCTAACTAATGAAAGATAGAATCCCAATTGAGATACCTATTTTTCATTCCTTTCTTCTAGCCAGGCGTCTCAGGGAAGGGGAGGGGGGCTGTCATACCATTTAGGGGGAGAAAATTTGCAAATATTTATCGGCGACATGAGTGCTTTTGTTGCAATCTACGCTAGATGTTTCAGAGTTTTTGATTATATTCGGCAGCCAGCGCGTGCGCAGTGATTACAAACATCAATGCCAGGACATGCAAGAAACGTCGGATTTTGATTCGTGGCATCCTCGGGACCAAACGAAACGGAGGCGACCGGAAAAAGAATGGAAAAGAGGTTGATAATACTGCTGAGCAGTATTTGCCAGTCTAGTGCCAAATAAAATAAAAACTTTCCGACTGTTTTTGTAGTTTATTGACTGAGGGTAGTCAGTTTGCTCACCGCGGCTGTGAGAAAGGAGATTCTGGATTTGATCTGGTGTACATTGACCTGCCAGGACTTCAACAGCTAGTGACGTCAGCACCGGACCCAGGAACACTGTATCTTGTGTGGTCTAAGTATAGGTAAGAACTGAAATAAGTCGTATCATCTCCGCTGTTATATGTCCATGTTGTTAAGGCGCATCAGTCTGCTACCGGCCAGCCTCAGAGTCTGCCACACTCGCGAGATCCAACAAGAACGACTTCTCCATCCATACCTCCCAAGGCCCTGGTAACATAGATGTGCGTATGCGTACATGTGTGTATGAGTGCATGTGTGAACGTCACCACTCTCGGGTATTTATTGACGGGTATTGATTTCTTAAGAAAATGACGGACTACTTTTAGTCTAGAGATGGATCGCGTTCTGTGAAGTATGATTAACGACCGCATGATTGTTTATTAACTTTTTAGCTGTCGTCTTCGTGTTCTGGCCCCATTTGGAATGGACGCCGAGTTTAACTTCAGAGATTACACAGGACCAATCATGGGCGAGCGATCTCACCAGGGGAACTGGAATCTAAACCTTAAACAGTTTCTTACCAAATATCGTGAGTTGGGATCAATAGGCCATTTCCGAGTTCCAAAAAATCTCACTTTCAAAACGAGGCTAAGTGTGAAACCTTTGTTGTGAAAATGAGTTTTATTTGCATCATAATTAAAAATCATTTTCATATCAATGGCTTCATACTTAGCCTCGCTCTGAAAGTGAGATTTTTTTGGAACTCGGAAATGGCCTATTTAGGTTTCTGGGAAACTGCCCACCTACCCCTCCCCTAAGCCATCATTTTGCCCTAAGTGACAAGTAAGTGTTGATATGATTTTTGAGGAGGGGTAGGTGGGCAGTTTACCAGAAACCTAAATTGATCCGAAGTTGCACTATTAGGTGTTCTTCCTTGCTTTTACCCGGTGCGCGTTGTGTCTTGAGAAGCATGCACGTTCCGTGACAGCCTGGGCTCCCTGTTTTTCTGGCCATGGAGGCGTCTGGGAAAGAGTGACACCTGCCTCACCGTAACTTTGTCTCGCTTTCTATTCGCTTTTATTTCTGCTGCCAAAATTAACACAAGAAAAGTTTGTTCTCTAGGTAGATAGTGGACGTTCAAATAACCAGAAAAAGAATCAAAACTTATCGTGTTTTGCTTGCAAGCGTTCTTCTGCGCCCGTCGAAGTTTGATGGTTTATTGAGTTTTCTAACACTTCTTCTTCGCACTTTTTTTTTTTTATCTTTTGACTCTACCAGCGTTATCGGTAGACAACTCCTTCCTTGGATTTGCTGTAAAACGTCCACAAAATGAGACTGTACCAAAGAAAACATCAATGGCTTTTGCTGTTGGAGGCGTAAAGCAATTCAGTGTAAGTAATTAAGGGGTTTGTTTAGCCTTTTAAGTCCCGAGAGTGATCAGCATCGAATTTCTCGTCAGTTACAACATCAAGAGAAAAGAATAAAGGGAAAATGCTTGGATGAAAAGTGCTTTGATCTTTCACTACGCCAAAAGCCGTGAGTGTAACACCCAGCTGAAACTTGATTTTACTTACATCTTTCAAGTTATGTCGAAGTCTCAGTTTGTTGAAAAAAGGCTGATATACATCCTGGACTTGGTTTTCTCATTCATGAACTCCTAGTTTTCTTTTACCTCCGTTGAATTTTATTTTTATTTTTTAAAAATTTTTTACATGACCGCTTAAGAAATATTATGCACTTATCAAAAACGTAGTTAATGTTTCATTCTACTTTTCCCCCTAGGCTCACAAACATTTCTTAAGAGCGATTTACAAATACATCAGAATACACGCTGCAGTGGTAAGTGGATAAACCATCCTCTTTTTATTTGTTACCTTCTGGAATCGACACTTAAGTCTTCATTCAAGGTCAAAGAGAGATCAAGAGATTTCCTTTCGTTACCTCGTCTTCTCTCCCTTACTTCCTTCCCGTGAGAATCTACTTGCAATGCAAGTCTTCTTTGTTTAGTCCGCAGAGGAAGGGAAGATGGATCTGCCGTTTATAATCAACCATGGCAATATAAACTCCACCGCTATAGGTCAACTGCTTCAAAGGTCCAAGGTAAAACTCATTTCGTACCCAGATCTCACTCTGTCTTGGCCGTGGGAGAACTGGGTACAAGACTAAAGTAAAATGGGTTCGATATGAAACGACAACAATTCTTCCACCTTTATGTTCGTAGAAAATTCAAGCTCTTACTGGCAACACGTTGAAAATTCCATTTCTTGCTTTAAGGGTGTTGAAAATTGAAGATCGTTCTGACAATATGTTGAAAATTCAAGATCTTCCGGCCGCAAGATTATGATAATTCGAGATCTTTCTTACTAGATGGCACGAAGTTCAACCTTGTTCAGACTAGTTAAACCCATCCAGCCGCAGTCAATCTCACAGATCTCATCCGTATTCATTCGTAATCTTATTAGCATTAACAATTGGAGTGTGTAGGAGTGATACAGAGATTGAGAAAGTAGGGTGGAGGGGAAGTGCGTCGATGCGTCAGTCAGTAATCCGCTTATCATACAAGAGCCTCTTCTTCCTATCTACTTGCCTGGACCATTGTTATTATATTACTTTATATTTGATAGAATTGTGTGTGTTTTGGTGACTTTTTATATTGGATAACACTTTCGTGATGACCAACATAATGATAATTTCTAAGAAAAAAAGCCCTGGGACCAAGGTTTCATATAATGGCTTACTGACCGTGCGTCTTACTTAATAGAATGCATATCCGAAATATAATTTACATGTCAAAACTCCCACTTCAAAATTTATAAGAGATATACTGATTTGATACCGGACACACTCTCCGGACGTCTATGTATTTCTTATTAAAATTTGGAGTCTGAATGCCTCTATCTCGTTCAATATAGGCCCGATAAACACCAAACTTGAGAATGTTCCTAACATCAATGTGCTCTTTCTGACTATGTGAGACTCGTGCTGTTTATCCCATAATAAACGTACGCGACCCAGCCTCTCTCGGTTTGAAATTAGGCAATTATCCTCACTCTTGTTTATTTAAAATCCCTCTTAATTGAAAGGAGCTGCTTAGAACCTATAAACGTGGCAAATCTCTTTGTTAAACAAGAAGCTCTTGGTGTGGAGATTAAACAAAACGTAAAACTCCCTGCTTTTTTTTGTACAGTAGCTAATCTAAAAAATCGCTTTCAGTTGCTAATAGGTCTGGGATCACCGTACGAAGAAGCTTTGGCTTTAGAAGCGATATCACACGGATGTATCTTCATTAATCCTAAAGTAAGAAGCTTTAATTTTGCCTTTAATTTTTCGCCTTACGTTTTTCCGATAGCAGCTTCCGTTTTTTTTGAGATATGCTCTTCATTTATCTGCTCCGAACTATACGACACAAGTGGCGCTTATTCTGAATTTTCTAAAAAAAAAGGAGTCTGGCCAGTTTACCTTCATCTTTCACTTAAGAGTGTTTTTCGCGGATTAGATGACTACACGTGATACGTGAAATCGTCTAGACCATGATTTTACAGCCGAAAGCTCACAGGTACCGACGAGGAGGCAATGGGTATTCATTCTTTTTTTCGCGTTTTAATCCTTTTTGTCGCATAGTGTAAATAGGAGAACCGACAGCCGATGAAAATGCTTGAAAAACAATAGACTGCAAAACAGTCCGAATTTTTTGCGTATTCAAGTACGCGCTAGCAGTCAAACAAAAGGTCTGGAATGAGGCTGAAAACACGACGAGGGGAGAGACGGCAATGGGACGTAATCATTCTTTTTGATTTTGAGAAAAAAAACCGACTGTTTTAATACATTTTTAATTGAAATATACTATTCCAGGCGGTGAGATAGTGTTAGCGGCGCAAAGAAAAGAGAGCAAGAAAATTCAGTGAGTGGTGGGGTAGTCTGTTCTCCAATACCTGAACGCTTGGAATAGGTTATAGAAGGCTTTAGAAGCCACTGTATTTGGTTACTGTATCTGAGTTTATTTGAATGATTTCCGCTGATAGGATATCACGTGAGAAGAAAATTGAAATGCCTTAATATTTCTCACTTTTTGTCAAGTTTTGTTCCCCGCTTTATTCCGTTTTGATCAATGTAAACAGTTTTATTCTTTCAGTTTAGGCGGCCTAAAAATCGGATCAATTCCAAAGCGCTTAAAGATCTACCGTCATCAAGAAACGTAAGTATTTAGTCGATTTCCTACTTACTTACTGTAAATTGGCCTGTGAATACAGCCGGCCGCCTCTCGCCATAGCTTAGTGTAGCCTTGCCCTCCCTCCCCCTCCCCCGTGAAGAAAATTCAGGGGAGGGTAGGGTACCACCACACTTAGACTACTCTCCCTGGGCACGTTTTTCGATAGAGACGTCTGCTGATTGAGATAATTACTAGGTACTTGCTATAACTCTGCGTTCAGTTTAAATCACTTTGATCTTTTTCTTTCCCCAGTTAAGTTCGCAGCATCCCTATCTGGAGAAATTTGTTGGAAAACCTTTTGTTTACACAGTTGACATTTGGAATAAGACGGAGGCGACGCAAACGCTTCAAGAGATCTTAACGAAAAAGGTGAAACACTGCATCTACTTTTCTTGCAAGTACCCCTATCATAACCGACTTTATAACGTGTCACATTCTAAACTGTATTCTGTGGTTTAGGTCATACCGTATGTCCCGTTTGAATTTACTTGTGAGGGGATGTTGGAGAGATTAAACGCTTACATCGAAAACCAGGTAAGAAGACGTCCGCACGTTTCCAATTAGAGTTTTCCAGTTATTTTTTTACTAGTACTTCTAAAGAAGTTTTATGTTCTGGCGTTGTCTATTTCCTCTACGGCGTTTTCCCAGTCCCTCTCGGTCAATTCACTTCGGTGACGTATCGAAGGAGAACGGGCATTTGCTTAGTTCACGTGACCCGAAACGCTTTGGCCGCGCGGAATAATGAAGCCTAAGGACTAGGAAAGTTCTGGCGCATTACTTTTTCTTTCTTTACTTGCTCACAACAATTGAACACTACTGTCTCTTTGCTTCCCTGGTTAATTAGAACTTCTGTGACAAGTCTCACCACTGGCCAGTTCAAAATGATGAACTTAACATCACAATGGCGCGTGCAGGAACATCGTGCACTGAAGCGTGTTTTAGAGAAGGTATTTGCCTATTCAAAATTAGCTTGCGAACAGCCTCCCAAGTGGAGTGGGGCGAAACAGAAAATCGAGCCGAGCGTGGCCGAGCGTGGCCTGGTGAGAGAAAACTTAGGACCCCAGGCCTCCTCCAGGCCACGCTTTTTCGCCCCACTTCACTTGGGAGCCTTTCTGGGACTAATATAAAGTACATTGTGGTTTACTTTCGTAACGATCCAGCTAAGCCGTGACCATAAGCCTTGCACGATCCAACCTCGTTCCCAGGGCGCTTTTCCCTTTTCCGGCCCCGCCTCCAAAGCCAGGGAAAAGCGCCCTGGGGACGAGGTTGTGCACGATCACTAGTCAATTCACTGAGGCGTGCTACTAACCACTAAAATTAACCAAAAATCAAGAAAAGGAAAATACTTAAGTTGCAAGTTGCAAGTTAAGATATAAATTTAAGAGGGCGGTGTATCGAAAAGTTAGAATATTTAATGGTTTGAGATATAAAGTGCAAAAGTAAAAAAACCATGTAGTTGGTTTAAGAGCGTGCTACCAATGGGCGTTGGCTGAAATTATGTTCCAATACACACCTACAATCCTTGCCCGTCTTAATTATTATTGTGTGCTTGCTATTTGTTGTGCAGGTTTGACTTGTGAGCCAGAGTACTTCCGTCTCCTTAATTCCAGGTAAAACTTTCATCAAGAAACTTGTAAACTTGTACTTCGCTTTTGTTTTCAGGTTTGTGGGAAAATACCTTACCAACAATCGGCGTCAAAATTAGTTGACACACTTTGCCCTAAAAGGCCTTTCTGACGATTTACAAGCTTCAAATTGAGGGCAAAATGAAGCTTTCCCTCCCCAACTCCCTAAAAACAATGTTGCACCGCTGTTCAAACTACCGGCAGGAAAGCAACAAACTGAGTGAGACTGGGTCTGTGTTGTGTCGAATTGCACTATGGGACTGTTTTTGGGACGCCTGTACTTCTTTTATTTGCTGTTATGAGATTGCGTAGGAATAAACTGGGACAATAGGGAGCTTAAACAAAGACGTGGTTTTTGAGCGACGCCCGTCAACCGGAAGTGAGGTATTTTCGCTTTTTAAAGGCATAATTAGCCTGCGAGCAAGCTCTCCTATTTGGGCGAGCGAAGCGAGTCTCGCGAAACGCACAAGCGAGTGGCGAAGCCCCCTCGCTCGCGTGTTCTCGCGAGGCTTTCTTCGCTCGCCCAAATAGGAGAGCTTGCTCGTAGGCTACCAAATGAGTGTCGCCTGAAGATTTGGGGATAACACTTGCCCAAGAATGTCGGCAAAAAGCGCCCACTTACGGTTGACGTGTGTTGCTCAAAAACGTCTTTGCTTAAGCTCTCTAATATGCCTTTTCAGCACAGCCTTCATAACGTTAGATCAGTTTTAGATAGCGAATGCTTACATTTCGACTTAACCTTGGCACAAGAAACTGAGCTTTATCAATGATTTTGTTACAAATAGTTATGATGTGTCCCAGGTTTCATCTTGTGAAAAATCATGAGGTCCAGTCCATAACCAATGAGTCCCAGTTCAAAAAAAAAAAGGAGTCATGCTTGGGCCTTTATGTAACCAGACAGTTAAGCTGGAGGCAGACGCCAAAACTCTTAATTACTGTTTACTGAAATTAAAATATAATCCTTCTATTTATTTAAAGCACAAAAATGACTAAAATAAATAGGCATCTTTAAACAACAGCCACAAGAATATTCTACCAAAAAATCTTCAAATCTATCGATCGTTCTTTGCGTCCCAAGGAGAGCATGCCATGAATATATTTAGCGTCTTTGGGGATTTTTATGCGTCAGGGACGAAGGACACAGAGGTAACGAAATCACTGCTTTATTTTTCTTCCAGTAGCGTACCCAGTTGTACAGAATTTGTATCTCAAGAGAGCGTTACGGCTCCTGCCATTGAAGAATCCACGTCAAGATGTGTGTACCAAAAACAGCCTTTGCTATACAGTTGCGCCGGCCATGATCCAAACTACAGGAGATTCTGCCCTTGCAGACATTACAGAGAAGGGCAAATAGCGCTATGTAGGAGCTGCTTTTGAAAGTTCAAGAAGAAATGGGACAAGAAACTCAGGAGCTCAGCTTTACAAAGCATGATATCAGGCCCACCGGCCTGAGACTGACTTGCTGACCTAAATTGTTGAAAAATGTTTCGAAAGTCAGGCGCTAACAAGGTCATTGAAGGAACTTGAAATTTCAGCAGTACCACCCAAGTTGCGACAGTAGTCAAACAATTGCCATGTTTTAGAACGGTTTTGAAATGATTACCCAAGTAGTTACCCTGACCAATCACACACGAGCTAATTATCAAATCACCCAATCAGATGACGAGGCAAAGACATGTAACCGGCGTTAAGCGCGGGAAAACACGTACAGCAAGTCTTATTGGTTTTATTTTTTGATTGGTTGAGAATGTGGCCCGAGATCTTTTAGCCAATCACCAGGCGTAGTGCAGTAAAACTAAACAAAACGAAACATTTGGCACGAAATGACATCCGACAAGTGAAAACCAGTCTTACTGCAAAGGAGACTTCGACGGTGATGCAGTCCAGAAGCTAAAAGGAACACGCTCGGAAAATGAATTGAAAGAAAGAAAAACCACCTAGGGTCAGTAGTAATGTAAATTGTTCAGTCTTTGTTTCTACTTAACACGTTTTGCCGACAATTTTGTTTTCCACCGCATTGTTCGGAAAGTTCTGATCAATTATGTTAAGCTGAAATAGCAGTCAACATACAAGGTGACGAAGTAATTAACAGTCTGATTTAGTAAAAATATCTCTTTTGTTCCTCCGGCACGCGTCCATTTAACAATTGTCGAGACACGTACGCTCGTGGTCTGAGCAAAAAGAAGGATATTTTTTCTCCTCATTGGATTTTCAAGCAGTACTATAACAGGCACTTTTCAAACTTTGAAAAGTTTCTATTCTTAGATTACCGACCATCTGCCGATGCCTTAGAACGTTGCATGTATAAATTATTCTCTCTTATGAAACTTTGCAAAACTTTTCATGTAATTAAAATTTAGGTGTTACTTTGTTATGTAATTCTTCTTAGGCCCGGTTCAGACGCCGCTCCACTCGTGTGCCGAACCTAACTGATGAATTAAGTACGGCAAAAGAGCGGCGTCTGAATCAATTTGGTACGGCAGTTTTAGTTTGGTACGGCAAAAGCGTTAAGTTCGACAGAGTCTGTCGAACTTTTGCCGAACTTAACTTAGGTTTGACACACGGTACGCCGTCTGAATCAGATGTCGCGCTAGTGTCGCTCCAAAGTCGAACTTATTCAGTTAGGTTCGGCACATGAAAAGTATGGCGTCTGAACCAGGCCTTATTCAGTTTGTTTGGACATTGTCCACCTTACTTTAACTTTCATTAATTAGAAAATTGCTCTGTCCAGAGCGCAGTTTGTCTGGTTTGATCTTACCTCTAGACACTTCATTTGTATCAGATAATTTATCGTCATGAACTGAAATAGTTTTTTTTTTATTTAAAACCTACAACTGGTGAATCGATTTAAAGCGTCTAAACAGCTTTTGTTTATGAAAAATTAGCACTGCTTTTAATATCGATTCCTCTCTGTCTGTCTATTTTAAAAGCAAAACACTCGCGATTCTTGACATAGATGGATATCAGTGTCTAAAAACAAGGCTTTAATTATCGTTTCGGAAACTCGGCTATTTTCCTAGCCGTATCTTTGGCGAAACTGAAAATTGTTTAAGTTTCGCAGTGATTGTCTTGAATTTATGCTGCTTTCTTAATAATATTCCCTCAGAATCTTAATACAGGAAATCCTGAAAAAATCTGAACTAATACTTGTCCATTCTTGCTAAAGGCGATTCAGATTAGTTGCTGACTTTTTAATCTTCTTTCGAAGACCATAGGATTAATTCTCGCGGCATTCATCTATTTTTTGCGGCTTCGAATGGTGTAGCCGCTTTAAAGAGCTTAACTGTTTCCTCCGGGTCAAACAAATACTCTCAAATTAGCCAATTTTAAACGTTAAAACAGTTTGGCAATAAAATTATAGTTACAACTGCTGCAATAAAAACCACCTGATTTTCAAGTACAGTCGGACGAGGTAGATTTCGAAATAAACGTAACCTTTGGGTTTACACTTGCAGTCACACTTTCGTCGACGGGGAACGTGTCACTCGCGCGAGGTAAGTCATGTAAATTACAAAAAAAAAACGCGGGGTTTACGATTATTTTAGTTTTGTTTCCAACTTGAGTGTTACAGAGCAAGGATAATGATTGGCTAAGAGCACTGAACAGCGACAGCTGAACCAAAAATAGCAAATTATCTTAATGATAATAGAGGGAAAAAAAGGTCGGCTCTTGATCTCTCCACATTTGTTTTCATTTTTTCGTTAATGGACGGAAAATAAGACAAAAGAACTTCGAGTGTCTTAAAATGAATTTATCGAGACTGGCAAACTGCCAAGAACCTTTTTCGTTTGTTTTCCTGTAGATACCATTAAGATGTTAAATAAAAATCCGATTCTGGTCGCCTGTGAAAGGGTTTTAAGAGGAAAGGATGGAGACGAATAATTACTATACCTTGCTCTATAAAGCAGCTGCCTTGCTTCGTCGCACCAAGTAACAGCTGCTACGATTATAGACTTCGCGCTATGTATTAGTATTTATTTACACAAACAGGATGACATGAAACGTGTAGCGCTGATATAGTTACCCCCAGACCCAGACACTTATATTACTGCACAACATGGAATTGGTCCTTTTTGAAAGTGAATATCACGCTTCAAATTCGTGCCTTGAATGGCAAAATCATCAAAACAATACCTCCTCAAGGTCTTTGTTTTTTTTTTCTCTTCTATTGTACTTCACATATGTGTTGTCTTTGCTCCAAAAACACCTTGTTTTAGGAGCGATCGGTTTGCTTCTTTCAGAGTGCGATTCTTAGTCTTAGTGATCAACTTGATTGCTAACTGCGCAGTTTCCCTGGTAACAACGTTAAATTTCCTTAATTGTTTTTACTACAAAATCAGTTGAGCGTTGGATGTGAAACGGTATCAAGCCCTCGCAACACGCATCAGCGAATTAGTGGCCACCGTTTCATTCTGGTCCGCATCCGTGCCTTCAGCGACGATCTCTTTAACACAAAGCTAGCGTAAAAAAAATCCAAGGAAACGAGGTAATATCTATAATGTTCAGCTTTCGATTTTGATAGCTAGAAAATTCAAAAACAATATTCTGCTGTGCATTTAGCCTTTGTCATGAAATATGTAAATTGGCTCTTCTGAGTCTCCCGCGTGCTAACTGCCCTCGGCGACCACGCCTACTCCGTCAAGAGAAATCAGCGTCATATCCTTGACGAAATAATAGCTTTGCAAATTAATTTCTTTAAAACGAGTCGGTTCAAAGGAAAGTGTAAATTACGAACCGATCTCGTCATCTTTTGTCAACTTCGAGTTTTAATTTTGTTTTCGTTTTTCTGTTAGCCGGTCTCGTTCTGTTTGGCTGGGTTAGAGGCGATTCTTGTTATACGGTTCACAGCCTATAACAGGTTTTTAATTCAAAGTCACTGGCCATTTCAGTTGAACCATGAATGCTTTTAAACGCTTCGGAAGACGATATTCACACTCGAGTTGGTCTCTTAATTTGCCAGTTCCGTTCTCTGGGGTGTAAAGGAATACGAGATCGGAAGTCACACGGCGAGGGTAGAGCGAAAAAGTCACCTCTCTATTTTTATTAACATTGTTTATTACAAAGTGAGAGCCAGTATTATTGAATTTAAACAGTCTCAAAGGCATATATAGTTTGGACAATTATTTCTTCACAGTGTCTAGTCATCCTTGGTGATCCATGCATCTTGTTTGCAATATTGATGCTTCAATAATTTCTGATCTGTCCATAACCGGTCCATAACTCGCCGCTCCCATGTCACGTTCGCTAATGACGCAACCACAATTTTGGTCATTGGGCTGTTTTTCAGGTTTTTCGTTAACTTCGAACTGCCCAAGCTGTCTTTCATGGCGAGCCAAGTAGTGCATAGTTCATATTTTTTCAGTTTTCCTTCAGAGATTGCAGAGCGAAAGTTTTGTTTACGTTGATCCCCCATGTTGTATTTAAAACATGTTATTACGGAGTGGATATGAATATGAAAAACTGTTTCAAATAGCTGTTTGATTGACCGTCGATTTAGTCATTACTTCATACGTTCATGACTTAATCTTGAGCGAGAGCGATCGACCCACCTTTCAAAATATTACGGGTTTCTACCCTTGGCGATAATATTTTATTGAAAGCATCTTGAAATATTGTTCACCCAGCAATAAATCATGTACTGTCACACAAGAGAGACAAATTAAACTAGACGAGTCGTTTTTTGTGTTTAATATGAAAACACGAATTTTTCTCATGAAAAAAGTATAAACAATTTTTAATGAAATCTAATTAAAGAAGTGCAAAGAATTTTTTGCGTTCAGGCTTCCATTAAAACTAAAGTTAAATATTTTCGTGCCAGAAAAAAAAAATATGTTAAAAACATTCTCGTGAAAAAAATGTTTTAAAAGGCTATTATCACTTTTTAAAAATATCGCTGACGAAGAGTGCATAAGCGACGTGGGAGTCGTATTGTTTCGACATGTCTTTTGTTTAATGACGAATTTTTGATTGTTCTCTCAAATGATGTTTTTCTGCATAAAAGAAATATTGGATTCATGGTGTAAACGAGTCTCGCTTTCGCGAGTGTCTCGTCTAACACTGAATGTAAATTAGACTTAGGCTTTTAAACTGAGTTGTGCGACGTGCTAATTTCACAATGCCCGAGTAAACCATCACGAGATTAAAGATAGCAGAGGCTAAGCACACAACTCATTAGATCATCAACCTACAATTGTTTAGTCGAATTCCGCGCCATATTGTCATTGGTGAAAACAGGGATTATCAAACAGAGGCGGAAACATACTTTCCAGGGGTAGGTTTACAACAAGAAACTGTGCGACGCATAAGAATGATTAAATTAAATCAAATAGCTTAAATTATTCTCAAAGATTATTTTTATTTAGTGCTTATTATTAGAGTATTTCTGTTTAAGTCAGTTTAATGAAAAATATAAATGTTAAACGGAAGAACAAATTGTTTCTGTCCATGTACCCCTAAAGTTTAGACTTGTGTCCTTGTTCCAGTCTCCACGCGGTTGTCACTGGCTTTAGCGCGTGTTGCAGAACAAGAAAACAGAATATAATTCCGTTTCGCTGCAGGAAACTAGTGTTGGGCTTTCAAGTCAAGCGCCCTCGTAGCACGGAAAATGGAGGTTCTTTCTCCTCAAAATCAATCTTCAGATGGTAAGTTTTATCTCTGTTTGTTAGGGTACCGTAATTAGTTTGTGGAGTCTCTGTGGGTTAATTTAAATAGCGGTCGCGCGACAAGCGTGAAACCTTCGAGCTTTCATTTTTGCTATGACACCACTTCATTCCCAAGCGCATTTTTGACACGACTGAATCCGCGTCTTTTGTTGTTTACTTTAATTTCGCATCTGTCATTGATGATTTTTAAATCTTCTTGCTTAAACGAGCGGCAAGTTTTGCCACAAAAATTATACGGTACTTCACTTGAACGCCACGGCTGCGAAACCGGAGAGGCGAGAGTGGTTTTCTCGAACGTAAATAATTCATTCTAAACTTTACCGAGCTGTTTAGGTTACATTATCGATAGAATTCTTGTTTAAGTGACTATTCTTATGACTTATTCTATTATTTCTACGGTGTCAAGAATTCATGTACTTCGTGTAGGGGTAATCGAGAAATCGACCCTCTTCTCATAAACGGGAAATTTTATGTGCGTGGAATGTCTCGACCTATTTCCCGCTGCCCTTACAAAACTTGCACTTATAATAATCCAATATTAGTGACAGCGGATGGTTTGTTTTAAGAGGGGCTAGTAAACAAAGCCATTTAGCAAAAATATCCAAAATTACTTTCCTTAGACATTGTTTAAAACCACCGAACAAAACAATACGAAAGCGAATTACGCGAGGCGAAATTTCATTTTGGTCCATGCTCGTTTTAATCCCCTTCAATGTTTGCTCGTGGCTTTTCAGCTTAAGTTGTTTGAGAATAAACAGGATGAGGAGGAGTTTGCATGGCAGTGGCCTCAGGAAATTTATAATTTCTCTGTTTTCCTATCGGAGTGTTTGTTTTCGTTAGCGTAGAAGTTTTTCTTCAGTTTTAAATGCGTGATGATAGATGTTAATTTGCTATTCGTTGGCTGAGGACGGAACCTGCACTTTAGAATCTCGGCGGGTGTTCCATTAAGCTTCGTTCGGATTTGAAACAGTTTCTATCGCTCGCTCTCTAAATTCGACTTTTTCTGTCTTCGAACAAGCGATTGACAAGATCGTTTAGCATCTGGTGTGCAATAACCTTTCGTGTTGGTTCAAGTCCCAAGGGAGCAACGTCTCTATTTTTTTGACAAAGGTCACCATATTGCCTAATAACTTCCAGAAATGTGTCCTTATTGTTTGGTTCGAACAAGACTTACTGATCTTGAATTATGCAAAGCCGTTCTTTTGTCTTGCTAAATTTGTTTACTGTGTTTAAGAAGGCTCAAGTAATAGTTTGTACTCGACTCAAATACCGTGGACTATGCAAGGAATGTCAAATCTACTGTACTAACACAAAGATCTGTGAACCTTTCGTCATAAACAAAATGCTAATGCAAAGAGTGTAATGTACCGACTGTTATCAAAACAAGATCTTATCAGTTAAGCTTATATGATTCCATAAATCGTTTCTCATATAAAATCTGCTTAAAATTTTAGTGGAAAAAGCCTACATAGTTAACTTGTTTTTAGCCATAGGGGTAAATGTCCACCTGTAACCTCAAAATTAACCAATGTATATTAACTTAATTCTGCCTATCGTTTCTGCAAAATTTCATTATACTTTGTTTTGAATATCTCGAATTAGATATTATAAAAAGACAGAGGATAAAATAATATATTTTTCTTTTTTTATGCGCTGGAAATATTCTTATTTACTTTTCTTAGCATGCAGTAGGCTGTAATTTTAGCTAGCTCTCCCTTACCCCCTATGATAGAAAGACATTAATTCAGGCTAAGTGTTTGACCACGAGAAATGTTTTAATTTCTTACTTAAAATGACGGTTCCTTTTAGTTCCACACTCAATGTCATTTACTTTTCATGAATTGCCTCATAAATGTAAGTTGTGATTTTTTATTTCAATTATTTTTATGGCCGCCTTCTCGCCATCCTGTAATAAATTCAATATGCATACAGAGACGTAAAAGAAAAATGAAATGATGAAAACGTGAGTGAAAAACAGAAACTGATTTCGTTGAGCTATCAGGCTGTCAGTGTTCACATTGTTATAACCACAACCAAGTAGCTTTCACAGTTGTATCCCATCGCTTCATTTTCAGCCCTATTGATTCCAGTAGAAAAAAGCAATGTCCTAGTCCTGCGAGACAATAGCTCTATATTAAGGAATTCATATACATCTTTAATGATCTGTATACAGCAATGGTCTCGTTGCCCACCGTGAGAGAAAACCCTACAGCAATGTATTAACATATTTCCATGCATGGAAAATTCTTTTATCTTAAAATTACTTTTTTTTAAGTTCGGAATACCGTGGGAAAATACAACAGTATTTTCTGTATATGATTATTTCATGGCCATTATTGTCGTCAAGGTCACTGTTAGACCTTGGCAGACATGTATAAGTTCATGCTCCTACCCTGAAGTGAAGTTTTTATTTTGATGGTGGGTTGATGTTTATTCAGATGGATTTAATTTTTGAATCCTTTATTTTCAAGAACTTTTTACCTAAATTGCAGCTGCTGTCAATTACTTCCTGTTTACCTTCATCTGAGGCTACTTACTTATTTCTAAGCCAAAGGCAAAAAACATCAAGATCTCTCCTCATAAATAACTTGTATGCATTTTTTATGATGTGTGAAATATTATAATGGTTTGCTGACACCAAGGGAGACAATACTTTCCAGCATTTTTATTAAAATTTCTTTTAACACTTAGAGGTACTTGAATTACCAGTCATTTATTATGAGGGAAAAGCAAGTTTTTCTAGCTATATAAGCCTAAATTTGGCAGAGTTGTCTACTTGCTTGTTAGCTAGTTAGTGTGTTGTTAATGATATGGAGGTGTTTTGGGTTGTGGGGAACCTGTTCGCAGTGTTTTTTCTTTGCTATGAGACTGTTTCCAATGGAGCCCGTGATGTGAGTGCTACCAGTCATTGTCAAGGCCACTGTTAAGTCTTTGAGTGAATGCAGCAGTTTCAAAAGATGAAAAGAACGCTGTTTATATATGCTCCCAAAGAGAGTGGTTTATCCATTCCAGAATTTAATCCAATTAGCATTGGCAAATCATAATGCTGGAATGAAAAATGTTTTCTTCTGTGTGACTTATTTATAGCGGTTGATGTGGGAAAGTTGAGTGAATACATGTACACTGCACTTTTTTAGTGTTGAACAATTGGTAATTGAACTTATGAAAATTAAATAAAATGGAGCTCTTGGAATACTGTCTATTTTTAAAGATTCTGCTGTTGGAAAATGCTTGGATTGTCTTGTTGGTTCTAGGATTTGATTTTTTTACCCTGAAGACTGATGGAAAAATTCAAAACTAGTTTTATTCAACGTTAATTTATTATGAGGCAAAGATTTGGAATGTCTGGAATACAATTCTCGTTCTGAAAAATAATGAAATAACAATATGTAAATTAGTATTGTTATTGGTTTTAGACTGGCATTCTTCTTCCTTGGATGAGTCCTGGGATTCACGTCTCCCGACACCTTTAGCTTTAGACTTTTCTGCAGAGGAGGAAGATTTTGCCCCATACACAAATGGAGGAAGTGAAGATTTGTACATAAACAATGGCTACACAGGTTGGTTTCTAACCCCACTTGTCTACAATGCATATAATATAAGATCATTATACGTTTCTGGGAAACTACCCACCTACCCCTCCCCTAAGCCAACAATAACACTTACTTCTCACTTAGGGCAAAATATTGGCTTAGGGGAGGGGTAGGTGGGCAGACTCCCAGAAACGTATAACGATCCAAATCGGATCCCCAATGATACTGTACTACTGGTAAGTTTATTATTAACCCTTTCACTGCCAAATGTGTGCACTGCACCCCTGTACAGACTATACGTGTATCTGAATGCTCAGAATGGCTTCTCTACCCTGTTATCTATTTTTACTGTTTTGGCATGGATAATTAAAAACATGAAGTAAATACGCCATGTGTTTTTCTTTGTCCTTCCACTCTCTACAATCTGTTATCAAAGTTTTTTAAAACTGTTTTGCATTCCACTTCCACTTCACTGCTCTCCTTTAACTGAATACTTGGAACACCTCGGCTATTTTGCCATCAGCTCTTTTAATAACTTAAACAGTAATAAATTAATAATTTATAAACATAAAAATAACATTTTGTAAATTTACTTTTCTGTGCATTCTTCATGGCTTGTAGAAAAGGAAATGAAAACCAAGGCAAAAGAAAATTTTACACTTTTGCTTCTCAGTTGAACACACAGATTAAATGTAATCAAGGTTGTGATCATGGAGCACCTGTTGTACCGTGTTTTGCAGATTCTCCCGTTAGTCCAGCGTCTCCAGCAAGTAATCATGAGTTGCAGACAGAATACCTCAAGATGGCTCGAAAAGGTGGAGGACATTCAGGTATTATAATGCTGTCGTCACTGAGTTGTGAAGGTCCTGGTTGGAAAAAATAAACTACCAGAAAAAATAAAATTAGCTAGTTGGCAAAAATCAGCTGGCCAGGGAAAATAAAATAACCTAGTTAGAAAAAAAAATCAACTAGGAAAATGAAGTAACCTAGTTAGAAAAAAATAAACTAGGGCGAAATTAAAATTAACTGAAAACAAAAATTATCTGCAACATAAACATAATTCCAATAATTGGAATTGTGTTTATGTTGCAGATAATTTTTATAATTATTATAAATTGTGTCCAAAACTTAGTATGGGGTTTTTGCTAAGCTATACAGCTGCGACACATTAATAAAGGTTTCTCTCTATTTATCAGATCTGTCTAGCTCCTCTGTTTATAAGCCCTCGATCCTTAGACCCCTTACAAAAATGTTTATGTCCAGGGTTTATGAGTGGCAGTTCATGGTACATGTATTTTAGGAAAATCCAAACCACTGGGGTCTTTGCAGCAGGACCAGCTGGTTGGCTAAGAGCATTATGATGCTTAGCCTCTGACAAGTATTGGCCTGTTATTTAAAGGTGCTTTCCATTTGTCAGAACTGACCTGCCAGGCCATTCCTATCGTTATGACATTTTCACTTTTAATCAAAACTTAAACCATCCCGACCAGTCAAATCATAAATATTATGCACAAAGGAGATGGTTTTTCAGCAAAACCTCTTGGAGAAAGCCTATTTCATTGCCAAAATGTCTTGTCCGGCCATGGTTCGACTGGCCAGTTTTGACGTTTGGAAAGTGTCATAAGAGGTCTTGAATTAAAAAGCCTTAAGTTTAAAGACGTAATTACTGAATTTTTTTCAATTGTTCAGATCTGTTGAAAATTGAACCCAACACACCTGCTACTGAGCCTGTGAAATATGACAAAAAGGATGGGCAGTGGTATACTCACAATGGAGTTGATGTGCAAGATACACAACAAAGAAAAGGTACCCGCAAGTCTGTTGTTACATTTTTGGCAAGCTTCCAGTTCACAGCAGCTGTAACATCAAAATCCAAATTCTTCTCTTGTTGTTTTGTCTAAAAGAAGGAAGGTTGGCCGAGTGGTCAGAGTGCTGGACGTGTAATTCAGAGGCCCTTGAAGTTCATGCCCCACCCTATCTGCTATCTAGATTTGTTCTCGGTAGTCCTGAGTGCAAATCTTTGGCCATGCTTGTCAAAGAACCAACTGGTTTGCCTCCTCCCAGTTGGGATTCTTAACCATGTTATGTTCCATTTAAATTATTTGTTTCATAGTACTGAATACTTAAAGTTAGAGGTGAGGATTAAGCTGGGGGGGGTACTCGCCTATAAAAGTGACGGGGGAGCTCGTCGGAAAATTTCAAAAACATCTCTGAAAAGTACCAGAATCTTGTTTTATGGGCGTGTCGCAAATTTATTTCCAACCCTGAGAGGTACCGCAAATTTTACTGCTAATTATACTGCAAATTTTAATAGTGATAATGATAACGTTCAACAACTTTCTTCTCAAGAACTTTTTGAAAGTATTGTCATAAATCTTTATCCTAATAAAGTGTATTATTTTTAACAGACTGTGGCAGCAGTAATTTTAAGTTTTAGCACCATAGGCAGTACCAATCCACAAATTTAAACCCCCAAAAGGTATTACAAGCATCCCCGTCACTAATATCTGGGAGTACCCTCCCCGAGAGAGATTAAGCTGCTAAAATCATGAAAAGACAAAAAAATTTGAAGAAGACACCTTTGCCTTTTAATGTGTTTGATTCTTGTATTAGAAATGGTGACAGTACCCAACACTCCACGGTCATCCAATCAAGACTCATCAGTGGATGTTGAATTGGATACAAATTACCTTAAAATGGCAAAGAAAGGTGGTGGGCATAAAGGTAAACTCATTAACCAAGACTGTGCTTTAGCAGTGTCTGGTGTCTCCTGACGCCTCTTTTTGCCTCCGGGCAACTAGAAAGACTTGTTTTTTTGCACAAAAATCACAAGGCTGTGCTCTAAGGAAAATTGTAGGGAGCCCAGTGCTCTGCAACTGGAAAAATTAGGGTGCTCAGCATATGATTTGTGTGACAAATCTGAGATTTTCTAGTTGCCCAAGGGGCCACCGGGCTCTGCTAGAGACAGCCCTGAATTACCGGTATACACTAGGCACCCTGGAGTTCACAGGTTCAAAGTACAGGGCTCCCTCCATTTTTTCTTCGAGCAAAGCCTTGTAAGCATTTATCAAGAACACAGTTAAGTTGTGCACATACATGCAAACAATCCTGCACATGTGGGAGTTATTAGTAAGGACATTAATTTCATGGTCCTTTTGGTAAGGCATTGAACTGCTTGTAGTTTTGTCTGTTAGATTGCCGTAAACAAGTAATAATAATTTTAGAAATTAATGCTCTCTGTTTTCTTTGTCTTATCCTGCAGATCTGTTGATGGTAGAACCCCATACACCCACCCCAGAGCCAGTGAAGTACGACAAGAAAGATGGACAGTGGTACACTCATGATGGAGTGGATGTTGAAGACACGCAGCAACGGAAAGGTACAAATATATTCTGGGAAAAGGGAAGTTCACTGAAATGTATAGAGGGTTCTCATTGTGTTTTAAAGCAAGCAGCTTAGGAATTTAAAAGTAGGTGGCTTGGTACACTGTAATTGAGTGCTGTAGGTAATTTATCATTTTTCCCCCAAAAGTAGATGGCTCAAACCTCCAAGTAGGCGGTTTTTCAGCTGGCTGGCAGCACTTAATGAGAGCCCTAGTATGAGTTATATAGGAACTACTGTTAGCTTTGGATTTGTTCTTGGAATGGATTTAATTCCCATCTCTTTTACACTTTGGCTTTATTTTTCTTTAATTCAGAAATGGTGACAGTACCAAAGAGCCTGCGATCATCAAATGCAGACTCTTCAGTAGACATAGAATTAGATACAGACTACCTTAAGATTGCCAAGAAAGGTGGTGGGCGCAAAGGTGAGTCTTCACCCGACTCTTAACCTTTTACACCCCAGTAGTGTCCAAAATCAATTTTCTCCTAATGATATCCATAGATTGTCAAGAGCAAAGTCTACGAGAATTAATAAAATGATCTCAAAGAGAAAAATCTTTAATCTTTTATCAAATTCTCTCAACTAATTCTTTAAGGAAATGTATGGAGATCAGTTTGGAGAATTTGTATGTGGATATTGGGGCTTAATGGATTAATCTAAAAAATTGCAACTCATAGTGTACACTATAATGTATGAGTCTGGACTTGTGCCTGCCTAGATGCATAGTTACTTTAAAAATGAATTTATTTCTTGTTAGATCTACTGACTGTCACACCCCACTCACCTACCCCTGAGCCAGTGACATATGACAAGACAGATGGACAGTGGTACACTCATGATGGAGTGGACATTAAGGAGACGCAATCAAGAAAAGGTAGTACAACTGAATGAAGTGCCTGTAATTATGTAAAGCAGCAACACTGTTGTATTATAATGTATTAACAAGTGTGTGGCTTAATGTCTTTGCTGCAGACATTTTACTGTCTGCCGGCCATCTGACTAGACTTTCTAAAAGTCCTAGTTGGTTTTCCCATTTTAGGGGACATTTTTTACCTGTTTGGTGCAAAATTCACTGGTGGAAAATTCCTCTGGCAACGTCATGACAAATTATTGACCAATAGGAGAGTGAGTGACATTTCACGCCACTCCTGACATAGCATATGTCAATCATCTTTTCCCATGTGAACTTATAATATTATATAAGGTCATTCAGGTAAAACAAGTGGATGTCGAGACTTTGTTGCTCGCTCAGTTGCTTGGCGACTTCATTTAATTGAAGTGTCAGAAATTATGAGGGGGGGGGTGGGAATTTTAAATTTGGGTTCAAATGAGGTGACGATCCCTGCAATGGGAGCAAATCTAACCATCTGACATACATTAAAGGACTCAGTAAAATGAAAAATCTAGTTCTTGCTGTCCAGTGACCTGTTTTTTGTAATGCTGAACTTTAATGACAGCATTAAGAGTCTGTTTTCTGGTTCACTCCTATTTTTTTTTTTTTTTAAAAATAAAGAACTTGTTTTTCTTTGGATATTATCACGGACAAATGACACTTTTTAACAATTTTTCATGATAGTATAAGTGCTTATGAGAGGTCAACGTGTAGCAACTCTACCATCTGACATACATTAAAGGACTCAGTAAAGAAAACTAGTCTGTCCTGACCTGCTGAACTAATGTTTTTGGTTCACTTTTTTAGACTTGTCTTTGGATATTACTGACACTTTGAACAATAATGATAGTATAAGCGCCGCAGGAGGGAAGCCTACAGAATACCTTAGTTTGGCCAAGAAAGGCGGTGGACACCAAGGTACTACTGTTTCCTTTAAGTCCCAATAGTGACCAACATCAATTTTCTCCTAACCATATCCATAGATTGTCCAGAGATTAGGTTATAAGAATTAATAAATTGATCACCTAAGAGAAAATGCCTTGATGTTTTATCAAATTCTGTCAAGTAATTCTTAAAGGAAATGTATGGAGATCAGTTTGGACAATTTGTATGTGTATATTGAGGCTTAATGGGTTAATAAGTGACACAACTGCCACAACTGCTCTTTTCCGTATGGCACATACATGTACACAACTGCCATACATGTAAGTATTATAATCATTCAGGATGGGGAACAGCATACAGGGGGAGAAGGTGTGGAAGGCACTTTTCTATAATAGCCCATACACAACTGCTGTATGTATTATAATTATAACCACTCAGGATGGGAAGTGTGAGGGGGAATGGGTGTGGAAGGCACTTTTTATATGGCCTGTATAGAGACATGCCCTTTGACTACCTATTATGGTTGTTTGGTCTCTTTGTTGTGAACATTAAATGTGATTTTGTGCAATCTTGTCCTTAGAGGACAAGATTTTTTCAGAAAAAAAAAAACCAGGATGTTAAAGCAGACTGCAGGGTTTAAAAAACATTTGAATTCCAGCTTGTGTGATAGGCATTCAGCTCTCACATTTTGCCCTGGGCCTCTTCTTGCTCATCTTAGTTAATGATTTAGTTACAAGATGAGTTAACGAGTGAGTCCTTACTTTCCTTTGCAGCTTAACTATAGCACTGTTGATTAAAGATCTCATGATGTCTTTTGAATGTAAAAAGAAAATAAGTTTTGTCAGATCATAAACTGATGTCATGTCTTCAGGTACTGTTTGGTAGACAGTATACATTTAGCATCATCTGATGAACACTCCTTGTGTTCTAGATCTGTTGACAGTAAAGGACTACATCCCATCCCCTGAACCACAGAAATATGAAAAGAAAGGAGGAGAGTGGTACAATCAGGATGATATGGTCATCAAAAATGGCCCACAGGGTAAGCACCTAATCATAATATTGATTGGTAGTAAGAATACTTAGTTCCACCCCCCCACCCATAAATCCCAACCACCCCCCCCCCTCCCCCTGCATGCAGGTGAAGTGTAAACTGCTCTTAAACATTATTAACTATTAATTCTCATTGGTGGTATCAATACGTAGTTTCCTTGCCAGGGTTCCAGTTGCACATCCCCTCTCCTGGAAATTCCTAGCCCCCCCTCCCTCTCACTGGTGAACTGTGCATGCACATGGGCACACAACAGTGCCCCTTGCGTCACAACAAAATTCAATTTTCGTTTTTAGAGCCTCCTGCTGGTTAAAAATAGCAAGCATAAATTATTTTATGGTAATGAAAACTTATGGTCATTTGAATAATTAACAGTGTTTTAGCACATCCCACACACACAGACACAAAATCATTTTATACTTCAGTCTACCTATAGATCTCTTATTTTCTTGGATGCTATTATTTTAATTTCATGCAAGAGAATAGTATTACCCTTCAAGCAGAGGTTTCTGTCTCGCATGGCTTTTAGCATTTGTTACAAGGAACGCGAATGACTTTGTAATTACTGAAAGCCATGCCAGAAAGAAACCTCTGCTTGAAGGGTAGAGAATAATAATCATGGCCATAATTTTTTAAATCCAAATATTATGGTTGAAATTTATTTTTGGTTGATTATTGTGTATTAAAATGATGTCCCTTTGTTTAGTACCCGTTATGCTATCGTATGTTTTTATGGACAAAGATAACAGGAAGTAAAAATTGAATGAAGGATAAAATTAATTAACACTTTACAACACTTACGCCTGTATTGTGGGGTAAATTTTAAGCTTCTGGTTCTGGAAAAGTTTTGTGCGCTCCAATATCAGTATTAAATTTATGAGAATGGATGTTTTAATTTCTTGGAATATTTTCATCCTTAATACCAAAGACTTGATGTTTCATTTTTAAAATTATTACTTTTAATAATATTTCAGCTTCAAGTTAACTGATCATTTTTAGAGTTTAAGGAACATGCTCTTGGTTTTCTGCTTACCAAATCCACAACAGGAAGTGAAATAATATTCTTACAAAACTCCTTAAATTATGATCTTTCCTACTTATTTACATGCAGTGTATCGTACTTCATGGCATGTGCTGAAGTTTTTAAGAAAAAAATCCATTATCATTCTTCCACATTTGTTTTGGATCCTGGGTAACAGCATAAATAAAATTAGTAATGAATAATAATATTTTACAGGTGCAATGTGAGAGAAACAACCACATTCTATTCTGTTTATTTATTTTATAGTTCTTGAGAGATGTCCGTGTTTAAAACAGTAATTTTACACTGTGTAACTGCAGTTTTTTGTTGGTTTACTTCCTCCATGTATCAGTCAGGGTTGCATGACATTTTACTTGTGCAAAGCATTTTCGTGTTAAGTAGATGATACGTTCTGGCACTCCTGTATTGTGCTATATTTTATTCAAATGGGCTCAAGATTTTATTTTACAATGTTTTCCATATCATTATGATATTAGTTAAAGTTATTGATTATTGTGAATGTGCAAAAGAAAAATCAAAGTTTTAAAAGTTTTCTTGACATCTAGCAAAGTTTGAGTTCCTGTAACTCTTGCAGTTCGCGATTGTGCATAATAATGACTATTATGAAAATTATAATAATTTTTAATCAGAAATGTGACAAAAGCTCCATTAAACCATTAAATGAATTTAAATTCTCAATGTATTTCTCACACAATGGAAGCTCAAGGTAGGTTAAACACATCACTTGCAAAAGTTTTGTAAGTTTGAAATCCAACTTGATAACCATCCTCTTGAATTGATCTTTAAAAGAAAAAGCTGACTGATTTCTTTGTACAGTTTGTTTTCAATAACTGCAGTTACTGTGATAAAAATTGGTCCAAATGACACATATAGTTTCAGCAGGATGATATTGAATTGAAAAGAAAGTGGTTTCAATAATTATAATGCATCTAATCTTGTTTAGCAAAGAAGGTTTTTAGTTTTACCACTGCTCACAGTCATTAGTGCTTAACATGCTAATAAAACCAAATTTGAACAGACCTTATGTTTAAGTGTGAATGATGGGGAAGCAGAGTCTGATCAAGTGAAATGAGTTATATGAAATATGACATCGTAACAATAACCCTTCTACTTGGTGATGGTGAAAGTTGTAGTCATCTGAATGATGCTCCTAGATCATGTGAAGTTATGTCAAGATTTTTTCTTGCTAACTTTTATGTCAGTGCACAAAATTCTATGGCCACATTTGGTAGCAGGTACGTGTTCTTACGACTGTGTCAGCCTTTCACATTATGTATCATTATCATTAACTCTTTCATATCATGCCAAGTGTGGCCAAAGACAAATTCTACGAGTTTTTCAAGGGTTTCATATTTCCAAAGTACTGCCAAAGAGGTTTGAATGGTCACACTTTAGGATTTCATTCACAGACTCAAAAGTTAGAACCACCTTGTACAGCGTAATAAACAGTACCACAGGAAAGTACTGCTCAGTAGCTTTCATTTGAATGGTCACACTTTAGGATTTCATTCACAGACTCAAAAGCTAGAACCAGCTTGAATTGTACAGCATAATAAACATTACCACAGGAAAGTGCTGCTCAGTAGCATACATTACTGATCACACTTGAGCATTTTATCCACAGACTCAGAAGTGAGACCAACCTTGTACAGCATGATCAACAGTACCACGGGAAAGTACTGTAAAATTCTGAAAATAAGCCCCGGGGCTTATATTTTTCAAAGGCCCTTTTTGGGGGGCTTATATTCGGAGGGGCTTATCTATGGGGGAAATTTGCATTTCAAAATATGGAAGGAAATTTACCGTTTTTGCTTTCTTTTGCTTTGTATTTGAGGGAAATTTTCCAAGTACAAGCCCCCAGGGGGCTTATATTTGTTTTTTGCATTACCGGTTTGGGGGACTTATATTTGGAGGGGCTTATACATGGAGGGGCTTATTTTTGGAATTTTACGGTACTGCTCAGTAGCTGTCATTTAAATGGTCTTACTTAAGCATTTCATTCACAAACTCAAGGTGTTCATTACGCATTGGAGATCAAAGAATTCTCCATTTACTACTCAGAATTCTCCAGCTAAAGTTTAGTTAAGCCTATAATGACTGTTTTTTTATTCAGAGGTGGAGCCTCTTTCAAACATACTTCTAATAATTTGTCTTTGTAGCAATATTGTTCATTGTAAGTGTATTGCGAGTAATAGTTTTGTAAAGTCAAAAAAAAATTGTCAAAGGAACGAAAAGTGCAAAGTTTACTTCTTCTTTCAGATACTGGTGAAGTCAAGAAACGTCACAGAACATATAGTGATTCAACAGCTAATTGCACGGCTGAAACAGAGTACCTGAGAACAGCAAGACTTGGTGGAGGACATAAGGGTATATAAAGTTGTTAACATTTTAAGTCCCAATATCCACATACAAATTCTTTAAACTGGTCTCCATACATTTCCTTGAAGAATTATTTGAGAGAATTTGGTAAACAATCAAATATTTTTCTCTTTGTGATCATTTTGTTAATTCTCATAGACTTTGCTCATGATAGTCTATGGATATCGTTAGGAGAAAATTGATCTTGAGCACTATTGGGACTTAAAGGGTTAATGTTATCATGGATGTGATCCTTTCTCTATGAAAAAATTGTATGCAATGACTCTGTGCAGGGAATACCACCTACAATGTACCAGTAATTCCCCCACCCCTACAACCCTCCAGGATTTTCATATCTTAAAAACAGTAATGATGTGGGTCATCATTCTGATGCTATGATCAGTAATAAGTACTTTGGCCAACAGGTGTTGTCACAACCTGTAAGATATTAACTTCCTGTATGACCCTTTCCCTCATGAGACCTTTTTCCATTTAGTGACTTTGTTAGGGTTATTGATCTGATCTTGATGCAAGGCTGTGCTCTAAGGAAAATTAAAGGGAGCCCAGTGCTCTGAAACTGTAAAATCTATAGGTTACCCAGCATATGATTTGTATGAAAAATCTGACATTTTCTAGTCGCCCAAGGGCAAAAGTTAGGCGCCAGGGGCCACCGGGCTCTGCTAGAGCACAGCCCTCTGATGTTGTTGATGCCTTTGCCCACTAACATCTGAATGGGTCTCAGAAATTTTGAGCCTATCTCACATTGTCAAAGGTAGTCGCAATCATGAGTCTGAAGGCGTAGAGATTTCAACAGTGTTCTTGATGAGTCCCAGAGCTTACCATCCACCCCTAACAGAGGTTAAAGCCAGTTTAAAGTACAGGGAACAGTCTGTTTGCCCATCAAACAACTTTCCATAAAAACCTGTCAACTTATTAACAGGTTTGCTTACTTTCTTCTTGCTGGCTCTCCTGTAAAAGAGCTCTTAAAGGCACTTTGCTGACATGCACGTTGTGTATAAAATGTGTTCTCTGATAATCAGCATGGTCTCTATTTCCATTGTAGATCTTCTAATGGTAGAACCCCACACCCCCACCCCTGAACCAGTGCAGTATGACAAGAAGGATGGACAGTGGTATGGTCATGATGGAGTGGATGTGAAAGACACTCAGGAAAGAAAAGGTAATAGAGAGTTATTACGTCAAGTTTGTGAAATAAATTAGGATTTCTCTTATGTAAATGTGTGCTTGCCTATATTGCAATGATTATTTCTTTCAGGAAATATCCATAGTACACGCTAAGTACAACAGGGTTAAAGTATGAACCTAAACTCAAGGTTTACTGAAATGAATTGGAATTTCCCTTACACAAATGTGTGCATGCCTATATTGTAGTGATTCTTTCTTTCAGGAAATATCCATAGTACGTACACACTAAGTTCAACAGGGTTAAAGGGGTAAGGGGTTGAAACCAATAAATTAACACCTCTGGGTATGCATATCTTCTCGAGCTTTGCCTGGTGTGCTAAAGAATGTGGTGCAAGATATATTTAGGCGCAATATTGCAAGGCAGTGAAAAGCCAAAGGCAATCAATAAATTAATAAAAAAATAACATTTGGCTGAAAACACTCCTACCTGAATGCAAACTGATGACAGTATTTTCAATGTAACTAGAGTTGTTGTCTTGTTATATATATATATATGTTGTTTATTCTCTTGTAGAAATGGTAACATTGCCTAACAGTCCACGCAAGTCAGCTGCTGGCAACTCTGTCATTGATATTGAAACAGACACAGATTATCTCAAAATTGCCAAGAAAGGTGGAGGACATAAAGGTAAATGATGTTCTAATCAGGGTTTATGTCAGAAAATTAAAAACTGAACATTTGCTTTAATTTACTCTCCAAAAGCTTGCCATCCACAGGACACCCACTTACTCAGCTGGCTAAAATCCTCTTTCAGTGTTTGGGGAGGGGGTGTCGAAATATTTGCTGCTGGCCATTTAATCAGTAAAAATTTAAGTGTGGTTAAACTGTTTTTGGTCTACCATTCTGCCTCTTTTTGTTCTTTTCTTTGTGTCTCACTTCTTGGGGCTTTCGTTTTTCTTTCAGATCTGTTGTCAATAGAACACCACACTCCCACCCCAGAGAAAGTGACATACGACAAGACGGACGGACAGTGGTACACACATGATGGAGTGGATGTCAAGGAGACACAGCAAAGACTAGGTGAGAAAGGGCAGTGACATGTGGTATGTTACAGATCTCCAGGCTACTTAACTGTTAATAGTGGTCAAGAAAATTTTATTTTTCATTTTTGTAAAATCCTAAGAAATTAATAGTACAAACGGATTTCATTTGAATGGTAATTCCATTCCATCCACCATTCACAGATCCCCCCCTCCAACTAAATTCATTGTCACAGCTTTTCTTTTGATCAAGAACTTGATTTTTTTGTATCATATTATTCTTAGTGAAAATTTTCAGTCATGTTATAATGGCAAACCAAAAAATCAATTGGTATTGACATTCATCAGTATGTAGGTGGATGTGTACGTGTAGCTGAAGTGATTAAATGTCAATTTTATAAAATTGAGGACTCAATATAATTATTATCTATTTGTAGACTTGTCGGTAAGTATTAATGGTTCTGAAAGTAGTGATGTCACAGCAGCAGGAGCAAATTGTGGCGAGTACTTGAAGCTGGCAAAGAAAGGTGGAGGACATGATGGTGAGATTAAGCTTTGGTTTTGTTACATACCAGTGCATCCATCTTAAAAATTAATAGCCATATACCTAGAGAAACTCTGTAACTGAGCTGCCAACAGTCACCTCATTGTTCAAACAGAGATCTGAATTGAATACCAATGATAATAGGCCACTTGCACGATGATGTCATTTGACTACTAAGATGATGATGATGATGATGATGAACTTTATTCATGTGTCGATGTATTTAGCTGACGCTAATTGGGGACACAACATAAAGATAAAATAAATAATGAATAATTATGATAAATAAAAGATAAGAAATAAAAAAGCTATTAAAGAAGTTATAGTATAATCCTATATATATTATATTACATTTACAATATGCTAAAATAATCAAAACAATATTATTCTAGGAACACAGGCACAACTTAAGAGGTACAAATTACGCACACGGAGCAATTGTTGCCATTTATCAGTTCAGTAAGATCCCTACATCTAATATGAAACTTAAACCTAGATAGGCTGCTCATTTCAGTGATGTTTTTAAGACCAGAATTCTTCAGGGTTTTGCTTTGTTGTGCAGATTAGGGGTCTTGTTATTTAAACCTCGCTGGGATTACCAAATTTGAATATGAAAGGAAAAACAAAAAGGATTCTGGTCATAGTAGTAAAATGACACCATCTTGTAAATGGCCTGTTGAATGAGCATTCTTATGCAGCTAATCAAAACGAAGATCATTCCATCCACCTACTTAAGATTTTATGTCAACCAATTCCAACAATTAAGCTTGGCTTGTGAACCCCGCGTCACTCTTTTCAAAGAGTTTCTGTCTTGGAATTTGTAATGTTAACTGACTCTACTTCTTAATGTTGAAGTCCCAGAGACTGATTGCAGTAATATTATGAGCATGTCTTAATTTGTTAAGTTTGCTATTTAGAGGATTATTGATTTGTTCAACTTTCCATGAAACAGATCTGTTGACATTGACACCCCACACCCCCACCCCTGAACCAGTGAGGTATGACAAGAAGGACGGTCAGTGGTACACTCATGATGGAGTGGATGTTAAAGATACGCAGTCAAGGAAAGGTGTGTTCTCTACAGGCAGTTTTCAAAATAATTTCTCCAATTTTGTCTCTTTATTTCTATAAGAATAATATTGGGGCTTCATCTGCCAATGGAAATCTTGAGTTGCTCTTGGGTTTGATTGTTAGCTGTAAAGTTATGGTCAGTAGTTTTGATTTTGGTCAATTTGATTTGGATTTCCTTCAGAGATGGTGACAGTTGCCGCCAGTCCACGTCCATCAAGTGCCGACAGCTCCATAGACATTAACACAGATACAGAGTACCTTCAGATTGCAAAGAAAGGTGGAGGACACAAAGGTACTGAAGTAAAACAGAAGCTTTAATCAGCTTAAATTGATCCGTCACAAGGATTAAGGTTTGGTCTCTGAGTTGAAGAAAGGGATATGATGGGGAAATTGTTTCTGGGATAAGAAGTAGCCTTCATGGGCAACAGCCAAAACCCTTCATCCTTGTAGATGTCTACCCCTGCATGGTTACTGACTCTAAATAAAAGCTTCTTAAAGTGTCAACATTTTCTTGCACTCAGTTTTCTTGCACTCGGCTTATCCAATAGATTTTAGCAACAGCGTAATCTTCCCGTGAATGTGATCATAGCAAAAAAAATCTAATGCAATTGTTTTTTAACCAGTAAAAATTTTGAATCTTTAAATATCTAACACTGTTTTTTTATCCATCATCTTATCCTTTTTTGTGCCACTCAGATTATTGAATATTTTCTTCCCAGATCTGCTGACAATAGACCACCACACACCCACCCCAGAGAAAGTGACATATGACAAGACAGACGGTCAGTGGTATGCACATGATGGAGTGGATATCAGGGAGACACAATCAAGGAAAGGTATTTCTCCGACTCATAAATAATTCAAAACTTGATAACAAAGAAAATCATGCACAGTGATGAGGGGTTGTGGTAATAAAAGATTAAAAAGAGAAAAAGTTATCCCGAAAAGTAATGACCCTCATTATTGTTGTGAGTAGCAGCTCTATGGATCTTTACTTTGTGGGAATGTTTGCTTTGGGTGTTCATCAAAAGGGGCTGAATTTTACCCAGTTTATAATTTTCCCAGTTTACTCAATGTGATGCAAAACTTATGTGCCACCGTTACACACCACTAAAAACAACACTTGACAAATATCATGTTAATGGCAAGATCGACTGTAACTTTCTTCATATTACTTGAGTGTTAGTATTCAGTGTGTCACAGTTTAACAGAACGTGTTGTTTGCTTTCTAGAAACAATGGTTTCAGTTGACAAGCAGAAGAATGTAGAGCATGTGGTGGCTGCCGGAGGAAATAATACAGAATACCTGGATTTGGCAAAGAAAGGCGGAGGTCATAAAGGTGAATGGAATGATTTTTTCCTTCGATATCCACAAAAAGTGTTGTCACTGCTAGAAACTGAACCTAGGCCACACTTCGATACTCTTCCACTCTTCTTTCTCGGAGTATGAGGTGATCAGTGAGCAAACAGTTCTTTTCTTGTATTCATCTTTGATAGATAGAGATAGATATTCTGTTTATTTCACCCACTTGTAGCAATAACTGAATTTTTGCGGAAGGTCATTGTCACATACAATTAACCAGTTACATACATTCACTGAAATTTATGTTACAGTAATTAATTTATAATTTTATAAGTTGCAGTAAGTCTTACTGTAGTTCTATTTTTTGTTGTTCCAGATCTGCTGACAATAGACTACCATACCCCCACCCCTGAGCCAGTGACATATGACAAGAGAGATGGCCAGTGGTACTCTCATGATGGAGTGGATGTCAAGGAGACTCAACAAAGGAAAGGTGTGTTTTAGTGAGTCAATGACCTAAATAGGTTGCCCTGTGTTTTGTTTGTATACCTGATTAAGTGTTTCCTGAACAATAAGTTTGGGTTTAGTTTTACAGGCAATTCTCTCTAAGATGGACACCTTTGGGACCGGCACCAAGTGTCCGTCTTAGAGAGGTGTCCGTCTTATAGAGAGTCAAATAAAAGGAGTAAAGAAAGGCAGAGACCAACTGTAGATGTCCGTTTTACAGAGGTATCTGTCTTATAGAGGTGTCTGTTAAGAGAGAGTCGACTGTACTACTCTGTACTGTGTAGCATTTACATAGATGTCTTGATTGTTTTCCTTGTAGAAACAATGGTGTCAGTGGATAAGCAGAAGAACGTAGAAAATTTAGTGGCTGCCGGAGGCAATAACACAGACTACCTTCAGTTAGCAAAGAAAGGAGGGGGACATCATGGTAAAATAATTTCCTAAAATCCTATATTTATTCCAAAATTCCATTATTATGACCACCAAAGTGCCAAGAAAATACTGGTCATTTGAGTGGAAATATTCTATCTTAAGTTCTTTAATAACAAGGTTTTCAGATGTATTACTCTTAGGCAAAAAGATTCCTTTTGTAAGTACCGTTTTTTAGCATAATTGATCAATCAACGAAAAATTAATCCCTAAATCTGACAACTCAACATTTTCTTTTGTCAGATCTATTGACTATAGAGCACCATACACCCACCCCAGAGATAGTTACTTATGACAAGACAGATGGACAATGGTATGGTCATGACGGAGTTGATATCAGGGAGACGCAATCAAGAAGAGGTGTGTAGAAGGAGCTGGAATTCGTTGTAATATCCTGGTACTGTATTTATTGTGTTATTATTGTAATAGGCTTCAGATCAGATAACCATTCAATGAAACAAAGCACGGGTCATGATTAATGTGACGTGGAACATGACTAAACAAGCACAGGTCATGGTGGGTTCTTAAGAGGCTTGCATCAAATTTTAAAAAAATACTTTCAATGATTTGGTTTTTTTTTTCTTTAGATTTGTCATCCACCCTTGAGAGTATTCCTGAGGACTTGCCTGCAGCAGGAGAGAAAAAAGGAGAATATCTTGAGGTGGCCAGAAAAGGAGGACATAAAGGCTAGTTGGATTATTTGTATAGCAAAGGGGCTCTTAGTTATAAAAGAAACCGCATTTTCCTTCCTAGCCTCCCACTGCAACGTTCCTTCATATAGCATAACAATCCCTCTCCCCACCCCCCCTTCACTACCTAGTCATCAAGTTGTGCGAATTTGCAACTTATAAAGCATACTCATTCAAACGTTTGGTTGTGTGTTGATAGATCTGTTAACATTAACACCCCACACCCCAACCCCTGAACGAGTGAGTTATGACAAGAAGGATGGACAGTGGTACACACATGATGGAGTGGATGTTAAGGAGACCCAGGCAAGGAGAGGTAAGTAATGTTGTTACTAAATAGTATTGTAGTTGAGACTGAAATCTTTCATGATCCAAAAATGGTTATGATCGTGGCTGGATTAGGTCACTCAACAGAGCCCTGCAGCATAGATTAGGAGCTCACTGTTTCAAACCCTGGGGATGGATTAAATACTTAAGACTGAAGGAGAAAGTCTTTTTACTACGAAAAACAGCTAGACCTCATGTTGGCACGGAGGAAGATGTTGGAGAAGTAGTGGTCCCATCTTCTACAAGAGACATAAAAGAAGTTTCCTTCCTCATCCATGGCAATCACCACCTCACCTATCCTCTTTGCTCTTTGTGGCACTTAAGGATTCCACAGCGTATTGCCAGTTTTGTCAGTTAGCTGCCGTTGTCTTCACTTTGTCCCTGCTCTCTTCCTTTCCCTCTTTTTCAACTGTGTGCCTCCAAGCAGTCTTTGTTTTCTTTTTCCATCTGGAGCCTGGGTCAATGCTATGTTCCAGTTGCTGTTTTTGTTGTGACTTTGCAGAGGTGGATCCAGGGGAGGTGCCCCCCCTTATTTTTAGACCAAACTGAAAAAAAATTTTTTGGAGACCGCCCCCCCCCCCCCTTATCTAAGGGTCTGGATGACCCCCCCCTTATCTCAAGGTCTGGATCCGGCACTGCTTTGTTCCAAATTTATTAAATATATTGTTATGTTCTTGTCTAGAAATGGTGACAGTGGCCAGTAGTCCTCGTCCATCAAGTGCAGCAGAAGTTGAAACAGATACAGAGTATCTTAAGACTGCAAGGAAAGGCGGTGGACACAAAGGTTGGTTAGAGTATGAATTTGGAATAAACGTTTACACTAGGCACATGTTGTAGTTGTGTCCAGTTGCAGTGGAGCCCTTAAATAATGCAAAAACAAGAGACTGGATAAAGTATTGTTGTTTTGCCATTTTAAGGGTGCTTTCAGGACTGGGTTGGTGATGTTTTCATCGAACTACAGTCAAACTCTGCTTTACGGACACTCGCTTCATATGAACTCCTCATTATTTCAGACAGTTTGTTCTGTCCCTAGGGAAATGAAGCCCTTACACTTTATCTTAATTCAACCCGTTTACTGCATACACCCTGTTCATATGGACACTTTCTATGGCCACATCACTCAGTGTCTGTATTGACAGGTTTTGACTGTATGTTTTTGTTCGGGGGACAAATTTTAAGCCAGTTTCTTGACAATGTGGTAATAGCCAATGCAATAGCGTCCCCAAAGGGTTCCTACTTGGTAGTTAAACAGAACACAACCTCAAAATGGCCGATGACACACGGTTATACATGTGGGGCCCTGCTCCATACGTTTGACTGTAATGTGGGTTTTGTCATATGGTGGTTTTATTGTAATTGCAACTGAAGGGATGGCCATTAATTTGGTGCAATTGATTATGGTCAACTTACCTAGTATATGTTAATTTACCTTTTCGTTTGGTTCTTTGTTACGTAATGAAGACCATGATCAACTAGAAATCCGATTTTCTATTGCATTGGACACATTGGAAGAAAGAGCAAAAGAGAGGTTGTAAATCTTCAGTTACGACTGAAGGTGATTTGACACAGTCATATGCAACTTTTCCTGTGTCCAACTACTTCAATATTCCCAACCATTTTATTCTCAAATCATGCTTTCATAAAAACTGAAACGTTTTGGGTAACGATTGTGCAATCTCTTTTAATCGCATCCATTTGTTGTTGTCACTGTGCTGGTAAATGACTATGAAATGACTTATTATTGGGTTGTTTAATTCTTTTTCGAAGATCTACTGACCGTTACGCCTCACACACCCACCTCTGAACCAGTAAAGGTAGATAAGACAGATGGACAGTGGTACACACATGATGGAGTGGACGTCAAAGAGACACAGTCTAGGAAAGGTAAGTTTCTTTTAGTAACGTCCTGTAGGAAAAACGTGTAGCTTTGATAGTATCCCAACCAAGTGGTGAAAGTGTTTGCTTACAAGCTTTCGTAACCCTTTAAGCCCTAAGAGTGATCAGCATCAAATTTCTCCCTGTAATATCAATGCTTTGTAAAAAGAGTGGTCATGAGAATTATGGACATGATCACACATGAATTTGCTAGATATTTTATCAACTTCTCCCCACTACTTCTGTAGGAAATGAATATGGGGCAACAAATGAGAATTCAAATTTTGATCTAAGGGTTTAAATGGTTAAAAATATTCTCGCCAAAGATTGCCATTAAGAGGGAGTGTACGTCAAGGTGAACTATGAAACAAGGGGCTGCGACAATTGCTTTGATGCTACAGACCCGTTCAATTCTTGCAGCAACCCTGGCAAATTTAAAAATCTCAATAATAATAATGTAAAACACGTTACAAAGTTTCAGAGGAGGGAGGTTGGGGCACCGTTGTCATCCTACTGATCCTGCTACTTGATTCAAGCAGACGTAAGATGAAAATGATTGCTCAGAAAATGTCGAAGTTCTGTCACAATGGCAATGCTAATTTTAATAAAAGAACTGTAATAGTTTACAGAATTATTAATCATCCCTTGTTTTTGTAGAAATGGTGACAGTGGTGAGCAGTCCTCGCTCCCCAAGTGCAGCCGGTTCTGCAGATACTCCAACTGAAACAGATTACTTAAAGATCGCTAAGAAAGGTGGAGGACACAAGGGTAAGATTTAACTTTATGAACGTCAACTTTGCAACTTGCGTTGACTTACAAACAGTCTTCAGACAGACTCGTTTTTGGAATTGCCGCTAGAATAGTTGCATTTTCCAATTTACTAGGGAAAGAAAGGTAATTTCAGTAGAAGATTGGCGCTCTGTTCTGTTAAGCTAACTGGCCCGAAGTGAAGAAACGGACACTCGATAGAGTGCATGTGGCTAGAAATGTGGAAACAGTTCAGTGGAAATTTTGTTTTTAGCAGTTCGTGTAATTAATTAATTAATTAATGAATTAACCGCGGAGGTCGCGGGTTCGATTCCTGGGACCGGACCAACACTCAGGGTCTTAAAATAACTGAGAAATGAAGGTACTGCCTTTGCCCTGCAAATGGCCACACGTTCGCTTGGCTCGGATGACCACGTAAAATGGGGTCCCGTTTCCTGTAGGAGACGTAAAAATAGTCCCCCCGATTAGTATTTTCGTGCTAAATACATTGACAATCAAATAAAGTGCATTTTTTTAAAACTAAATATGTCCTAGCCTAACACAGCCTAACTCAGTCTTCCACAACTCGCTCCATTTACGTTTGAACTGAGGCAACTAATACTTTGCTCTGCAGATCTGTTAGTAGTAGAACCCAACACACCAAGAAGCGAACCAGTCAAGTATGACAAGAAGGACGGACACTGGTACACACATGATGGAGTAGATGTTAAGGACACACAACAGAGAAAAGGTGGGAGTCGCTGGTTGATGAACGACAGAGAGTGTTACTATACAAATAAGTCTAAATTGCCTTAAAGGATTTTAATTATGGATGTATTCGGTTGGTTATTTTTTTCCTGGGGGTGGAGGGAGGGTGGTGGAGACTGTGAAGAACTGTTGTCAAGAACATCGGTCTTGCACGCGCACACATAGTTATTTAAAGTGTACAGACTGCAAATTATAGTAGTTTCTAAAAAGTATATCAACGTGTCGTAACTGTTCATCAGTAGCGGCACAACAGTCTTGCAAAACCTTTTTGGTTTTCCCCAATAAAACGGTAAAGAAGGAAATCCATAAAATCCACCTTGAGGGTGGATTTTTCGTCGCTGAAGTATAGTATTGGGTAGCATTTTTGACTAAAAGTAATCCTGAATAGTCATGGACGTCCTTGGGGAAAATGAAAATCTTAAGTCCCCCGGGGAAATCAAATCTATTACCTCCCAGATCACCCTTTTTAAACGTTCTCAGTGTTGATTTATTCCTCATATAACATCACTTACAGTGATCTCAAGTTCCGTTTATTCATTTGAAATACTTTTATTGGTTGTAAAGCAGTAATACGTTAATGTTTTGTTCTGTATGATTCCACTAATCTCTAACCTTCTAACCCCTAACCCTCAGAAATGGTAACAGTGTGTTGTAACAGTCCTCGTAAATCAACTTCTGGAGGGCATGAAGGTTAGCTTTTTTCTTTGAAGTTTCCTTCTAGCTCGTGTTTATCTGGCAAGAAGAAAACACCAAATTTAATAGAAATCTTGGTAACATGTATCACTAACTTAATTTAACACAATTCTCTTTAATTTTTCATTGCATTTTACTTGTTTGTGTTGTTTCTTTTCTCTTCTCTGCACATGCATGCATTCTTTTGTATTATACGAACAGTGTTATTGTTAGTTAGAAGTAAATTTTTCTTTAAGCTGAAGTTTTTTGCCGGCAGCGTGCCCTCTTATTGACTACCTCGAGGTCATGTGACATCTATTAATGATAAATAGCAAATATGCCTGAGCAGTTGACAACGTTGCAAAATCTATGATGTCAGAGGGTAACAGTGCCTGGAACCCGCGAATATTGACTAGTACTCTGTTTTGATGCGGGGCTGCTGGATTTACTTGCAATTTCTCTCAACTGAACGGATAACTAATTCTCCGCAGAATCGTAGTTTGTGTTAGAAACTGAATCCAAACATCCTTTTCTAAATGTTTATTGTTTTGGTTAAAAATTTCTTCACTTTACTTCACGGACATTTTTTGAAAGGATTTCTCTTTATCCTCGTGATTCTTAGCTTCACCAAGTCCACGTGCAGATAAAAGCGATGACTCAGATTACTTGAAGTTGGCAAGGAAAGGAGGAGGTCATAATGGTACGTTGTATCAACTCTTTAAGCCCCAAGATCCACATACAAATTCTCCAGACTGGTCTCCACACATTTCCTTAAAGAATGAGTTAAGAGAATTTGATAAAAGATCAAAGCATTTTCCCTTTGGTGATCTTTATATTTGTTCTCATAAGCTTTTCTCGTGATGTTGTACGGATATTGTTAGGAGAAAATTCATGTTGATCAATATTGGGACTGAAAGGATTAATATGGTTTTAGCAGGCTTAGCGCAAGCACAAGTGTAAGAGTCTTGTTTCAAGTAAGAAAACATTTACAAAAGCGTGGACACACGAAAAGGAAGAATTTTGATCCTTGTTTTTTTTCTCGCGTTCATGTTTATGCCATAATACTTAATTTTCTCGCAGATTTATTAACAATGACACCCCACACCCCCACCCCTGAACCAGTGAGGTATGACAAGAAGGACGGACAGTGGTACACTCATGATGGAGTGGACGTCAAGGAGACCCAGTCAAGGAAAGGTGAGAGAATATGTTTATATTTCTTGAATTCATGCACACACTGAGTTGAAAAAGTGTATTGATTCTGATTTGAAATCAAGAGGCTTTCAGTTGCTCTTTGTACAATGTCATAACGATGGATCTTATACTGAGCAAAGATGAATACGTCTTGGTCACTAAGCCGAATTAAAAACAGGATTGTGAAGCTACAAGATAAGAATATTTAGTTCGATTAGGCAAATACTTTGCTGCAAACAGGCCTAAAAGCTGGCTAAGTTTTACAACAGAAAGAAGAAAAAACAGACTAGAAAACAAAATGGATATCTTTTGCTTTGTCTAGTCCACTGAATAAAACGATTGCTTCTCCCATGACAACATCCTGTTTAAAACTGAATGGACCACAAAGGCCAAGTCAAACGAACAATAACATATCTAGGTGGAGGGGGGAGGGTGGTATGGACTTTTCCCTTGGCCAGCGAACGAGCTCTCCCAGGGCTCCCGGAGAGCTTACATGTGCATTTTTAGCCTGGTAATTCACGGGAAGAGACCACACCCAAAGCAATGCGATGTTCAAGTGACCCTTCTTCATATATAGGTTATGTAATCAGCTTTGTTTGATGGTTGTATTTATTCTTTAGGCACACCCACTCGGATTCCTCGTAAAAACTTGCATGTTACAAAATTTGACGTCAACTCTAACACAGACTATCTTAAAATTGCTAGAAAAGGCGGTGGCCACAAAGGTAACAGTGTAAGCTAAAACAGTAATTAAAATAAACTACTAACGCTCATAGTACTAATGTACTAATTTAATATGCTAATGCTAATACATCTAACAACTATAATGGTAATGAAACGTAATGCAATAGTGTAAGGTTGGGTTAATGTAATTACATATGTGTACCTTGCATAATTAATAATAATTGCATACCTTTTTTGGCTGAAAGAAGGCTTATCTCCTCGCTCTTTGCACATTAAAGATTAGTGACATCACAACATAACCTTTGTTTTCTACATTTTATCAAGGTGAAGAAACGGCTTGAAAACTGAAATTTAATGGTATTGTGTTAATAAGAAGAGTATGGGCATTGACGAGTTGGAGAGAACCCTGGGAACGAGGTTGATGTTACTTGAATTTACAGGTCAAGTAGCAGCACATTTAGACGAAACCTTACAAGGAACTTCTTGTCCGTGTTTCCTTGCTTTTACCTCTAGTAAAAGCGCAGCCTCCTTCCCAGTCGTCCTCGGCGATGACGTCACCTGTCAAGCTTGTCTTGTCTTGCTGGTCATTCGGATAGCGCGAATTGGCCTGGGTACGAGGCTTGTGAAAGCGTTTGTTTTCACAATCTTTGAGTGTTTCGAAATGTGATGTGCTTGGATATTGTTCTTACAGATCTGCTAAGCCACACACCCTCCCCTGAACCGAGGAGATCTGAAAAGAAAACAGATAACCAAGATCATGTTGATGGAGATAAATCAAAAGGAAGAAAAGGTAAATTTTCGTAGGCGTTCTATTTTTTTTCCTTCCTAGCCTGAGAAAACAGGCGACATTTTCGCGACGCCACTAATGATTTCCCCGCGAAATAAAGTCTGAGGAACGAGCGCAAAAAATCAAGCCTATACTCAACTGAACGATCTTATTGCGCCTAGTTATGTGAACAATCTGTTTTACTCTTTATTTGTTACCTTTGGTAGGTTCTCCCGCCTCGTCAAGCCCTCGTGACATCAATACTGACACCGATTATCTCAAGACGGCACGGAAAGGAGGTGGCCATAAAGGTACGTATTTTCAATGCTTTTAGTTTCTTAATCAATCATTGAGAACCCGGATCAACGTTCAGGAAATACCGTGCATTTCATTTTGTGAAAACAAAAACAAAACAAGTAGTACATGTGAAAAAAACTGCTGAAGACGTTTCATATGAATGGTAACACCAGAGGCTTTTTTCCACAGAATCACATATTAAAATTGCGGGACACAGCTTAATAACTCGGTTATGGAATCTCGTTATTTAATTCTAGGCGCTGGGAGTGAAACGCGGTTCAACTAGATTTTGTTTTATCTAACAGATCTACTAACAATTGAACATCATAAACCCAGTCAAAAACCAAAGAAGCAAGAAAAGAGACTTGGAGACTGGTATTATCACGATCAAACTGCGGGCAAAGACTCTGCAAAAACAAAAGGTTTGTCATCTTAGTCCTTAGTTTATTAAACAAAACCTCGCCTGAATAATGGTACTCCCTGGAAAATGCCACCTTCATCCAGACTCTAAAGTTTGAACGAGCTTGTACAGCATAATAAACGGTACCACAGCAAAGTACTGCTCAGTAGCTTTCATTTGAATGGTCACACCGTAGAATTTCATCCACAGACTCAAAAGTTAGAACCACCTTGTACAGCATCATAAACAGTACCACAGTAAAGTATTGCTCAGTAGCTTTCATTTGAATGGTCACGCCTAAGGATTTTATCCACAGACACTATAATGGTTTATCACTTATTTGTCGTTTTGATGTCAAATGTCAGTTACTGCTGAATTATGTTGCTCTTTCAAAAAACTACAAAACAGCTGGCGACTCAAAGAAACTCCGACTGTGTTATGAGAGTATCATCATTATTATTTGTTTTTCAGATTCTCCTTCTCCTTCCCCTATCAGCAGCCCGAGAAAATCCACTTCCGATTCTTCACAAAGTTCAGACTACTTGCGAATGGCCAGAAAGGGAGGTGGCCACAAAGGTGTCAACACGTTTCTTCTCTGCGCTGTTCTCTATATATGAGGGTCCTCAATAGGTTTTTCGGGACCCGGAATTTCCCTTACTTGAAGCTCGGGATTCGGGATTTAAAAGCAAAATCGGGCAAGATTCGGGATTGAAAGTATGGGCGCGAGTTAGAATGCCCGAAAGAACCCTCGGGATTACGAGATTGCACGAAATTTTGGGTCGGAAATACGGGATTGAAGAACCCTATTCGGGACCCTCTATATATTTCTGAATGTGGATTTCCACGGTCGAGTGATTTTTACGTGCGCAAGCACACACGTAAATTTTACGCGCGTAAATAATAGGCAGTGTAGGGAAGGTCTGCGTAGACGTAATGAAGTTGAACCTCGCTCAACTTTTACGTTTACTCGCGACACTTAATACATTGCTCGACAGTGAAAATCCACCTTTGTAGTACTAGTGGGGAAAATTTGTTAAAATATCAAGATACTTTTACCTTCAGTGGACATGTTCTTTATTCTCATTGCCTGAACATTTGATAGAGCTGTGTTTTGCAGTATTTTGTTTCTGGCCTTCAATTTACTCACTTACTTACTTCCGGAATCTGTAGTACAATTAGTTAATTAACTTCCCTTTTTTTACAGACTTGCTATGTATGACACCCCAATCAACATCCACTCCTAAACCCAAGGAAGTGAAACAAAATGGAGGTAAGTTGGGAATATTGAAACACGCAAAGTTTTGCAGGGCTGTCACCAAAATTTCTCTTAGCGGGATAGATGGAATAAGTAGGCAGGGAATTGATCATCTTGGAAGTTCTTTCCCTGTAGTTGCCGATGATAGTATCCGGGAGTCTTGCTCTTAGTAGCCTTGAGAAATCCCGGTCACTGGCCTGAGACACTCCGAGCCGTCGGGTTTTCTGTCATTTTGGTTTAGTCATTTGTAATCTTCTACGCAGCCACACAACGTTGTGAGACAAATAACAACTCGCAGAAGACTACTTTGATTATAGCTATTAAAAGTTAATGAGGGAAACGATTGTTTGCAGATACAACTCCAGTTAGCAGTCCGCGTAACAGCACAACTCCAGAATCAACTGATTATCTACGGCTTGCTAGGAAAGGCGGCAGCACTCCAGGTAAGACAAAGAGTACAAAAAGAAATACAGTGGAATTCCGTTAATGCGACCCCCGGTGGGCCATAAAATCCTGTTGGTAATAACGAGGTGATCGTATAAACGGGTTCTTCAAAATGATGAAATGACGCCGTTTTTTACTTTGGGGTCGAAAGAATATGGCCGTAGGTAATAACGAGGTGGTCGTCAGGCGCGGGCTTCCCCTATAATACTTAGAGTTAATGAGTACTATAGTTATGAACTGTGCAATAAACCTATGTTAACAGGCTACTTTTATATGAAGCGATGATGTGCATTTGAACTCATCGCAAGTGAGATTGCTCATTTTAAAGGATAACTGAGGAAATTGAATGATCTGTACATACGCTAATAACTAAACCAAGAAAAAAATAGACTGGTAATTTTCCTTTCGTCTTTAGAACCCAGTATCCGGGATTCTCCATTCAGACGGAGTGCAAGCATGCGTGTTACATCTAAGAATACTGGATCTGATTATCTCAATGTAGCAAGAAAAGGAGGACATCACAAAGGTTGGTTTCTTGTCGCTTGAACCCTCTGAACACCAAGTTTCATTTACTTTGTTACTCAGTACCTCAGATACTACCTTAGGTAGCCTGCGAACAACCTCTTCATTTAGGGGATATCGTAAAAAGTACACGCGCGAGAGGCACGCGAGAAGAGACGCGTTCTCGCGCGGCTTGCTTCGCTCGTCCAAATTTCCCACTCCAGAAACTATAAGGGAAATTGGTACAAGCTTTCGGCAATGCGCAATGATTTCTGGGATCATTTGGGTGGATAAGCGTTACTTGTGATTGGTTCATGGTTTCCTTGAATACCATCGACCAATCATAACTATTGCTTGTCCACCCAAACGATCCCAGGTGAAATCGTTGCGCCGAAAGCTTGTTCCCATTTCGCTTATGGCCTCTAGAGTGGGGAATAGGAGAGCTTGCTCGCAGACTGTACCTTTTGTTCTTTTCTTTTCTTTCTCCAATATTTTGTTTTCTGCTTTCATGTAAATTCGGGTTCTTTTTGCAATCAGTGTATTGCGGGAGCTATTTCTTGAATCACTCAGCAACTCTTCACTGAAAAGCGGCAGCAGCTTTATGGCTGGTACAACTTAAAGGTCAAGCGGGCTCATATTATACTCTTGTTTCTTTTCTCTACCTAACCAGACTTGTTAACGATGCCTGACACAGAAACAAGTAACTTCCGGAGAGGTACGTAAATTGTATTGAAATACTACTCTGTTAGAGCACAAAATATGTTTGCTTTAACTAATCACAACAGTCCCAGACTCGAAAAGTAAACGCGCGCGTGAAAGTCACGATTTGTTTTAATTTTACTTCTGATTGGTTAAAAAAGTGGTGCGGTTTTCTTTAGCCAGTCACGCAGCGTATAAACAACACAAAACGGAAGGCAAGCTGTTATAAAATTTGCCAATTAGAATTTTTAAAATTAAATGTAGTGTGTGCCCAAACTTCATTGAATCTCCCCCGATCTGTTTTCTTTCATCTCGCGCAATCCCCGCTACCTGAACCCCTGGAAAAGGCTAAAATATCTTGTGCTTGGGTAATAAAAAATATTGTTTTCTATATTGTTTGTGTAGATCAAGCATCCCGTAGAAGTTTAAGAAGGTAAGGCTCATCACCGCTCTAGCGGTTCTTTTTTTACGCTTATATTCCATGCTCAAAACATAGATTCTCCTTACGTTTTTGCTCAAGCGAATTGTTGTTGTAAAGATGAATTAGATTATTGATCACGATTATAAAACTGCAGTTTCAGAAGTCCATTGGCCTCACAAATAGATGGACCACCTCGTCCCAGGACAGCCGAGCCTCGTCAATCCAATCCTATATGGCTGGGAGGATCTGGGCCTGAACGAGTTCATAACCCAGGCAAAAGATTCATTAACCAAAGTTCAGTCATTGCGCCATTTGCTTACCATCATGGGTCCCCAGGGTGAGTGGTTGTTCAGGTAACGACGAGAGGGAAAGGAAACAAGAAAGTTTGCTTTATGCTTTTTTAAAATTTGTCAACGTATTATTTTTAATACTTCTTCTCTGAAGAAATGGGTCGTTACCCCTCTCCCCTAATTGTGTTCACCCACCCATTGTAAAATCACAAACGGTGCAGACAGTCACGTGAGTAAAGCGCGGGAAAACTCTTACGGTTGCGACTGAGTTTGGTTCTATTTCTAATTGGATAAAAAAGTGGCCTGAAAGTTTTGAGCCAATCACATAGCGAAGCATTGCAAAACCGAGTAGTGCAGTAGAACGAGCTTGCAGTGGAGGCCAGTGCGCCAAAAATATGGCAGTGTATAAAAATTAATTGCCAATGGAAAAGGTTTGATCCTTTCCTTGTTCCTTAATCAACGAAACGAAATCCATGTAGCCATTGCATATCCTCACTCTAACGTTTTCTCTTTTTTCTCTTATTAAAGGGCCGCCAAGAACCCGGATAAGATTTAACGAAAAAAAAAAAAATCCCACCACTTAAAGAGTTTCACGTCACACCTAGAAAGATAAGACAGATCCGAGAAAAATTTTATTTAAATAATTTTGTCTAACTTATACTACATAAGTTTGTATAGTTCTTAGAGTTTTAGAAGTCTGTCAGGACGTTTTTAAAGGTACCAAGTCAATGAGATTTTAAGCAAATAATTTTAACAGCAATTTTAGTTATGGAGACAATTATTATAATATCAATGCAACTATTTATTTCATTATAATTCAGCACCCGGATTTTTTTGTAACCATTAAGAATTTTATGAAAATGCGAGTTGGATTTAACTGAAAGGAATATTTCTCTAGAATTAATGGCTATCTTGCAAATGGAGCGAAAGTTGCTTTTAAGATTGTCGAAGGGGTAATTTATTATGTTGGCTGTAAACATGCAACATGTTGGGAAATAACGCGACCAAAGCCAAAGAGCCGAGAGAGCTGGGACGAGTCTCGTTTTGAAGAGGGGAACTATAAAAGGAGACACAAGAAAATCCCTCCAAAATACAACATTGTTTTGCAAGTGAGATGCGCGTGAGATGATTGACAATTTCGCCCTTTTTTGCTTGTTTGGGCGTTTTGCGTTTCTAGCCCGCAGGCGTTATCTAAACTCGGGTAATATGTTTGCGAAACAGCGCTGAAATGCTGGTTCTCAACCCTCAACGGACAGCGAATTGGATTTGGATTTCCTTACAACCTGATTGGTCAATTGAACAGTGGATTTTTCAAAAGGCTAATCATGGGTGTATTCCAGTCCTGGTTCGCAGCTAGAGATTTAGTTTCGTTTGTGGCCAGGGCACTTGCAAATCAAATGAGTACAAAAGCTAACTTCACCAACATTTGCAACTTGTTTGTTGACTTTCTTTCATAATGAATTATAAGAATTATTTAATATTATTTCTAGGCTTTTTGTCGCGTTTTCTTATGTACTGAATAGACATCTTATCAGGAAGGTAAGAGAAAGCAAGTATTGGGTTTAAATTTTACTGTCAAACATCGCTTTCATCGACTTAAAACCAGGCATGTTCAGAAATGCAGGCTTTTGGCTCATGTTAGTCATCAAAAAGGATCCTCGTGAATAAACGAATGTTTCTGACATAACAAGGTCTCTAAAACAATTCTTAGTTTGCCATGTTGGTGGTTGATACAAAAAAAAAAAATTTTCGAAGCGGATAGCAACGCTATTGTTCCTGACCACAACATGGCCGCCATGACGTCACAATTGCAAACCAGCAATTGCTAGCCTCATACAGTTGTAAAAGCTTTATTAGGCTGTGGTGTGTAAATTATGTCAACTGCAATATGAATAAGGATAGGATTTCCCCAGTCAAATTTAAAAAAGGTTGCCTGCCTTTCTGGAAATAAAAAAGAATATGCTTGATCCCGTGAGTGCAACAGTCCCAAATGTAATTTCAAATAGATGTAATTTACTCGTTATGAACTAGACGGGCTAATTTTTAGCTTTTAAAGAAAATTTATTTCCTTGTTGCACGAAGAAGTAGTATATAGTAATTCAGAATATTTTAAAAGTAAATAATAGATGCCCACACTTTCATTTAACTTGGATGATTAAAAGTTTTTTACAACAAAGGTACTGAGGAATAGAATGTAAGTGCTAAGCACAAGTAGAATGGTAAATAAACCCTAATAGCCCTTATATCAGTATCCATATTCTCCGCACTTCTCTCCATTCTGATACCAATGAAGAGAATTTCTTTGTTGATATTTTTTATTTCTCATGACCTTTAAGGTGACGGTAAACGGTACGATTCGCAACGAAGATTTTTTAGACCAACACAGCGTTGCAATGTTGAAACTTCGTAAAAATGTTGTAACGCTGTGTTGCGCTAAAAATCGTCGTTGCGAATCGTCTCGTGTAACCTCACCTAGCCTGTTCTAGGCGTTCAGATAGTAGAGCGCGGCGGTCAGTGGGGAGCGAGTTCAATTGAACATCGGGAAAACGGAGGGAGGCCTTCGTTGTTTTTTTCTTCGTGAATGTTTTCCCCGCGCCCTACTATCTGAACGCCTAGAACAGGCTAAACCTCACCTTTAGAGGTGATTAGGCATGAACATTCTGACGAAAAATAAGATGGTAGACTCTATTAGGGCTTCAAGGGTTATACACCACCAAATATTGCTTAGAATATAGTTGAAATTCAATAAATGTTGTTGTTAGTTTGAAGTCTGTATCCTTCCGTGGTCTTTGTCTCTACGACCGAAAAGAAGAAACGATCTCACAAAATAAGAATAAAAGAACTTACAAAATTCCAAACCTGAACTGTCATTCGCCGCTTTAGAAGGAAGGAAACTGGGCCGAATAACTTACGAGAGAAAGGGGAAAAAATTGGCCAATAGCTGACCGACACGTCACCAGTAACGATCCCAGAAACGATTGCGGGACTCATTTCGGTTCCAGTTCCCTTTTCGTTTCTAAAGAGGGGCGGGGGGGGGATATGTAGGGAGTTACTGGGAGTTTTCGCCGGACTTTTTATGAGGTCTTTGAAATATTACATTGTTATTATTCCATACAGGTCTGACTCACTTTTCCATGGTCTATAACATATGATTGACCACAAAATGTTTAAGACTTTGTTTAACTCGTTGTAACCTCCTTCCAAGGGTTCTCTGAATTGGGACGGCTGTAATACCCAGGAGAAATGAAAATCAAAGGTTATGCAAAATTTTTTTTTTTTTTTTTTTTTTTTTTTTTTTGGGGGGGGGGGGGGGCAAATAAGGTGCATTATGAAAAACCTTCTCGTTGCCCTCGGTGTTGTTGTTGCTGTTTAAGCTCGGCTATTTCCACAGTTGATAACGGTACGTTAATAAGGGAGAGTGATTCCAAAGCGACATGAGAGGCGCTGGAAATTGTACGTAATTGCATACTGGTAAGAACTGTTTATATGACTCATTCTTCACTTGTTACGCAGTCTTAATATTTCGAAATGTATTGTTTTCGTTGTTTTCTTGGTAAAAAAATCTCCGTACAGTAAACACCCGCATATAAGAACAAGCGGATTAAGAACACCAGGCTGAAATTTGGCCAATAAAGCCCCATTTTTATAAGAACAAGATTAACCTGAAAATTGTAACTTGTTCTTATAAAATGGAAAAAGTGTCATGATTACAAAGCATGTAAGTTTATGATATAATATAATATATAATATGATCAAATTACTGGATAATTATTTATTTTATTTTGCTAAAATATGCTTAAAATATACCTCTAGCAACATGTTTTGGATAGTATTACTTAATAAAAATTTAAGAACATTTTGAGGCTGATTTGTCATTAAGCACCCGATAAATAAGAACTCAATCAGCCTGACCTCCAAAATCGTGTGTTCTTATATGCGGGTGTTTACTGTATTTGGGTAACTTCTATCAAATTAGCTCTTTTTTTGGCCTTTTCAATAGGCTGAGAATCTGTTCTGACATCTGTAAGGTTTTCGTTGATGTTTTCACTTTCTAATTGATTTTGCAAATGGCAATGATGACCTGTCGATCTTAATTAATATTCCATTGTTTCAGTCATTCAACTCCCCGTCAAAAGCTGATTTCAAATCCCTCCCCTCACTTTTCGGTCGTTAGATGAATTTTACATGTCCTTCCTCGAAAGTATGCCTATTGAATATATATAAGTTTTTGAAGCACAAATAGATATTTAGCAATAACATATTTCTGTTCAAAAAAAGCCTACTACTGCCACCTTTCTGTAACTTGGTTGAGAATGAATATTGGTAAGAATTAAAGAAAAAATCGTTTATCGAATACAGAACTTTATTAAAAGAATATTCAAGTTAACTCATTCCGTTAACAAATAAGTTATGTACATAACTTGATTTAAGACCACAAGGTTTTACCTCGGACTAAATGTGGCTTCACTTGCCTACAATAACATTATAGCACTGCTGTACAGCTGACAAATCTATTTATCAATCAAAGAGATATTTGCTTACTCCTTTCCTCCGGGAAGAAAGGACAATTTTTATTGAAATATTTGAATTCGATTATTAGTTTTGTCGCACACCACAATTTGATCATTACTTAGAACAGCTACTGAGAATGGTTCCTTGAATTGTCCTAATTTGCTGCCATTTGTTCCAAATTTTCCGACAAACTTCCCATCTAGTTCAAAGACTTGTATTCTACGATTACCTTGATCACAAACCAACAGATGCTTTGACTGAGTCACTGACAGAAAACGTGGATTATTAAACTCCCCGTCCCTTTCCCCCTGCTTACCAAACTTGTACTGAAAATGACCCTCCCTGTTAAATACTTTGATACAGTGTTCAGAGGAGTCTGACACTATGAAATATTCACCACACTGAACACAGTGAGCAGGAAAACTAAAAGAACCCTGTCCACCTATCTTCATTACAAACCTACCATCCGGGGTAAAAATCTTAATCAGTTTGTCAACTGTATCAGCAACAATAACATTACCAGTACTATCTAAGGATAAACCCCCAGGGGCAAAGAGCTGACTATCAAGGCTTCCTACCCTGCCGCCAAATGAACTCAGGTGCCTCCCCTCCAAGCTAAAGATCTGTATTCTGCGGTTATTACTGCCTGCTACAAAAATATTCCTGTCTTTATTAATGGCTATTCCATACGGGTAACTGAACTCTCCAGCATTCTTACCTGTGTGACCAAAGGATCTTAAGAAAGTACCATGACTGCCAAACACTTGAACCCGATGGTTGCCTTGATCAGCTACTACTATTTCGTCCCTATCACTCACTGCCACCCCCACAGGATACATAAACATTCCGTCACCCGAGCCTTTCTTTCCAAAAGATAAAACGGGTTTGACTTGAAATGGTTTTAAAATCACAGTAAAAGGACTACAAGAAATATGAATCCCGTTTACCTTAACTAATAATTTAGATGTCCCGTGAACTCTGGGATAATAAGTGACTTTGTAGATTCCGTTTTCGTTATTATTTATTTGCACTTCCGTCACGCATTCTCGTTCTTGTTCGTCCTTAATCTCTATCGTGGCACGGTCTCTCTCATCATAACACTGTTTTCTCTCCTCGTTTCTTGTGATCAAATTGAATTGAGCTTTACGCGCTACAGTTCCTTCTTTCAGTCCTTCACCTTCAGCCAGATATTCGCTTGGTTTTGTTCGATTACCTTCTTCCAAGAAACCAAGTTCTTCGCCGTTGACGACATCAAGCATCTTCTGATTTTTTACGAAACCAAACGTTTTTAGACTACTGGGGTCATGAACAATAGGCTCGGTTTCATTAAATCCATGAAAGATTGTCTGTAATGATTTTTTAAGATGAAGAACTTCCGCGTTGGTACTTCGTTTTAAAAGTTTATCAGCTTCCTTCAGTGATGATTCGGTGGCATTTATCTGTTGCTGAATCGCACTTCTTTTTACTTTTAAACTTTCGAGTGACTTCTTCGTTTGGTTTTTCACAGCGGTAATAATATTTTGCATTTTTGCTTGAATTGTTTTGATCAAGCCATCAGCAAACCTTTGGACATCTCTCCTGGCGATTTCACTTTGTTGAATCAGCTTAGCACAGTCCTCGTCTAGTTGAGCAATTACTTTCAGTTTCGCATCTAATCCTTCTCTTTGCGTTTGAAGGATGGATTTTATTTCGAGTGCTTTGTTTTTAGCTTCTTCGTCGATTAATCTCAAAACATGACCTCCATGATCCAGAGTGACGCAAGTTTGGCAAAGAGTCGTCTCGCATTCTTTGCAGTAGTATTTCAGCTCCTCTTTCTGGTGTCCTTCTTTTGAGCAAAACACCGGTCGCTTCAACACATCCTCGTAGTCCTTGCTTTGGAATTCTTTTAAAGCCAATACGCGGTGATCTTTTTTGTCCCGCATACTATTATGACATATTAAGCAATGCTCGCAATAAAATCTGCAACACTGGAAACAATACGAAGCTTCCGAGCACTTCTTCTCGCAATTTCCGCATGTTACTTGAGTCTTTTTGCATTCTTTAATAGCAAGAACATCGATTAAGCCGTTCAAATAAAAGCTTGTTGGAAGATCTTTCAGATCACCGCTCGCAGGTACTCTGCTTAGGGTTTGGCACTTCGGGCATTTAATGGCCTCTCCGCCGCCGCACGTTTCGTGCCATCGATTCAGGCACTTTAAGCAGAAACTGTGCAGACAGGAGAGATGTTTAGGATCCGTAAATAAGTCCGAACACACCGAGCAAGACACTTCTTCACGAAGATTGTAAAACAGCGTTGTAAGATCCATCATGGCTTCAGGAAGAAAGGCAAAATGACCTTCGATGCACTCCACACCCAACAATGAAGTCTTGTGACTTTCTATCTTTAGCTTTTCCCGGAAACAAAAGACGACGAGCCAATCACGATCGCTGTTGTAAGAGTCCTTGTCGCGCCAGCTTTAGTTTGTTATTTTAAATGCAGACGTAAAGTCAATAACAAGATGAAGATTAAATCCTTTCGGAAGCAAGAATGCGTCAAAGCCACGACTATGAAGGATATTAAATCAAGAGCGTGAGCATGTGTCAGTGTTGCTCCGTCTCTGTCCTCTATTTTGTTTGAGGGGAGGGGGGTTACTGTACCCGTTCTATACCCGTTTTAAGGCCGAAACGGCCTCAAACACTTTAGGGCGGCACATACCTATGTGGGTAATATAATGGAGTAACCCCCCTTGACAGAGTCTAAACAAATGTCCGTGAAAGAATAATATTGCCATGTTATATAGTTAACCCATGGACCAATCCCCCACGCTTCCCCTTAAGGGTTTAAACTAGGTTTAAAATTAGTAAGTTGTTCACGTTTTCCGACAAAATTTTGGCCAAATTTATACAAGTTTATAATATATTATAATAGTGTTAAAGGTCCCTAACAGGGCCGGCTATACAGCATAATTGTTTCTGTTACAAATCTTGTAGGGCTTATCACGTTAGGCACTGATAACAACACAGCATAAGCCAGCAGCAGGATGTTGTTACTACCCTGACCCCCCTTTACGTCCCATTTATTTTTGTCGGTGGGGATATCAATTTGTTTAGTTGACATCTATTCTTTCTCTTGCAATGTGCTTATCTTTAGCATAATTCTTTTTTGGCTAAGCTCAGTATATTAAGCTTTAGGAATATTATACTCGTGCCGGTAAGAGGTTGGGTGAATGCCACTAAAAGACTTTCCAGCCTATATTGAGGGTCGTGAAATTTAGAAGCCTCTTGAGCTGGTACTTGACCTAGGTAATTGACCGTAATGTTAAATCTTATTGAGGGTAAAAATCTATATTCTAAGCCAAGAGAGAATAAAGCTCTCTTGTCTAAGCTTGAAGCATAGTTGACACGAGAAACAACTCTAAGCAAGGAAAATAGTGCTGGATGCCGTTGTTTAGGGTGAGTGAGGCTCCATACACATAATTCCACTTACCCCCATGTCATTAGCTTCCCCTTTGGGTAGGATCACCGGTAAACCAGGGGAATTGTAAAATGGGCGGAGCAAAGATGACCAACTGGGGTGGGGGAATATAAAAAAAGGCCCCTAGTCAAAGTGCTTTAATTTCAGCCAAGGACGTAGACTAACACAACTGAGTACAAACTCTTTGTTGTGAAATAAATGAGAGTCACGTTTACTCGTGCACAAAATAGACGTCTTGCCATCAAGGAAACATCACTGCGTTAAAGCAGTAGGTTTGAATTTCGCTGGCGAGCCATCGCTTTTATAGACTTTTATTTCGGTATCCTCAGAATTTCAGGCTGTGTTGAGTTGCATGAATTCTATGTTGATCATCACAAAGTGTGCTCGTTACTCCATGGTCTGTTTTCTCAAGGGACAACGAATTGGATTTGGATTTCCTTACAACCTGATTGGTCAGTTAAACAATGAATTTTTTAAAAGGCTAATCATGGGTGTTTTCCAGTCCTGGTTCGCAGCTAGAAATTTAGTTTCGTTTGTGGCGAGGGCACGTGCAAATCAAAAGAGTAGAAAAGCTAACTTCACCAACATTTGCGACTTGTTCGCTGAGTTCCTTTTTTTCGTAATGAATTATAAGAATTATTTAATATTATTTCTAGGCTCTTTGTCGCGTTTTCTTATGTACTGAATAGACACCTTATCACGAAGAGAAGAGAAAGCAAGTATTGGGTTTAAATTTTACTGTCAAGCATCGCTTTCATAGACTTCAAACCAGGCATGTTCAGAAATGCAGGCTTTTGGCTTATGTTAGTCATCTCAAAGTATCCTCGTGAATAAACGAGTGTTTCTGACACAAAAAGTTCTTTAAAACAATTCTTAGTTTGCCATGTTGGTGGTTAATACAATAAAAAAAAAAATTTCGAAGCGGATAGCAACGCTATTGTTCTTGACCACAACATGGCCGCCATGACGTCACAATTGCAAACCAGCAATTGCTAGCCTCATACAGTTGTAAAAGCTTTATTAGATTGTGGTGTGTAAATTATGTCAACTGCAATGTATGAATAAGGATAGAATTTCCTCACTCAAATTAAAAAGGTTGCCTGCCTTTTTGGAAATGAAAAAGAACATGCTTGATTCCGTGAGTGCAACAGTCCCAAATGTAATTTCAAATAGATGTACTCGTTATGAACTATACGGGCTAATTTTTAGCTTTTAAAGAAAATTTATTTCCTTGTTGCACGAAGAAGTAGTAAATAGTAATTCAGAATGTTTTAAAAGTAAATAATAGATGCCCACACTTTCATTTAACTTGGATGATTAAAAATTTTCTACAACTAAAGTATTGAGGAATAGAATGTAAGTGCTAAGCACAAGTAGAATGGTAAAGAAACCCTAAAAGCCCTTATATCAGTATCCATATTCTCCGCACTTCTCTCCATTCTGATACCAATGAGGAGAATTTCTTTGTTGATATTTTCTATTTCTCATGACCTTTAAGGTGATGGTACACGGTACGATTCGCAACGAAGATTTTTAGACCAACACAGCGTTGCAATGTTGAAACTTCGTAAAAATGTTGTAACGCTGTGTTGCGCTAAAAATCGTCGTTGTGAATCGTCTCGTGTAACCTCACCTAGCCTGTTCTAGGCGTTCAGATAGTAGAGCGCGGCGGTCAGTGGGAAGCGAGTTAAATTGAACATCGGGAAAACGGAGGGGGCTTTCATTGTTTTTTTCTTCGTGAATGTTTCCCCCGCGCTCTACTATCTGAACGCCTGGTACTGGCTTAACCTCACCTTTAGAGGTGATTAGGCATGAAAATTCTAACGAAAAATAAGATGGTAGACTCTATTAGGGCTTCAAGGGTTATACACCACCAAATATTGCATAGAATATAGTTGAAACTCAATAAATGTTGTTGTTAGTTTGAAGTCTGTATCCTTCCGTGCTCTTTGTCTCTACGACCGAAAAGGGAAGAAACGATCTCACAAAATAAGAATAAAAGAAGTCACAAAATTCCAAACCTGAAGTGTCATTCGCCGCTTTAGAAGGGAGGAAACCGGGCCGAATAATTACGAGAGAAAGAGAGAAAAAATTGGCCAATAGCTGACCGGCACGTCACCAGTCACGATCCCAGAAACGATTGCACGACACATTTCGGCTCCAGTTCCCTTCTCGTTTCAAAGGGGGTGGGGGGACGGGAGGTGATAGACAAGACAAGACAAGACAATGCTTTATTTGGAGTCTTATACAGTCCTATGTACATCGAATTTATCCAAATAATTTAAAATCATAACACATATTGCACACTAGTGGAACTATAATCAATGTTAACCTAAAGAACTAATGATCTTCTTCTCTCATAGCAGTCGAATACGTATTTTGCAATTAACTTTTGCACTGGTTTGTTCTTGCTCGGAAGGTTTATTAACATAAAAACATCATCTGGTGCCATTCTGTTTACTGATATTCTGTATTCTTTGTTTAAGTATTCAAATAAAGTACTTCTTTTTTCTTGATACGCAGGGCACAGAGTTAAAAAGTGTATTTCATCTTCTACGTCTTTTTTACAGATATGTAGGGAGTTACTGCCTGAGAGGACAATCAAAATGACGCAATTTTTTTTCTTTTGCATGGGACTTCCCTAGATTTTTCGCCGTACTTTTTATGAGGTCTTTGAAATATTACGTTGTTATTATTCCATACAGGTCTGACTCACTTTCCCATGGTCTATACCATATAATAGACCACAAAATGTTCAAGACTTTGCAGTCGAACCATTCGACTGCAACTCGTTGTTCCGCGCATAGTTAATTGAGTGGAATGGTTATGAAACCCGTCAGACTCCTTTGTTATATGTTTTTGTGGACCTGAAAGTGCACAACGTTCAAAAGAATTCCTATCATTTTGATTGCATTGACCAATAAAAACGTTGCATTAATTTATTCCGTAACAATTTGCCAACAGAAAACAAAGGATTGTGCACTTTCATGGTGCTTTCAACATAAACTGCAGCACTGTTGTTTTAATATTGATGTTTGCCGCTTTTCATAACCAGTCTCCTCTAATAACTATGTTCCGCGTTAGTTTTGAACATTTTGACGTCATCTATCATTGATATACTAATTTTACTAATGAGGAAAGAGTAACCTCGTTCCAAGGGTTCTCTCAGCTTGAGTATACAACCTCGGTCCCAGGGTTCTCTTTCTTGCAAGGGTTCTCACATGACGTCATGGCGGCCATGTTGGTGTTGGACTTTTTCTCTTATTAAAAATCCGTCCACTTGTTAGCTCAGCCAGTGCGATTTCAAACCACAAAGTTTACGGTACAATAAAAAGCGCACGCCCTCGTTTATCGCTTCTCCGCTCGCCGCTCGCGTACTTGGGTTTTGTGTGTGCAGTAACTTTGACAGTCCATTATGACTTGAACAATTGTCTTATGTAAACGCTTCTTTTTTTCCAATAAATTTGCATAGATGCTGGTCACGAGAATGAAAACGCTCCACAGACCATAGAAAATTGTGGTCCATTTTTTGAAACCCCAGTAGGAACCGCGAGCCGCAGTAACATTGACAGTTCTTGACGTCCATTTCTGTTAAAGTCTCTCCAGGATTTGCACGGGCAAGGGAGTGGGAAATAAATTGCAACATCATCACATCTTTTCCATGGTCTGTACTTTCATCGACTTTTAGCTCTCGACCAATTAGCGCGCGAAAAATCCGCTTTAATGAAAAAGGCGATGCAATGTTTCAAACACGTGCGGCAACGAATGCTTTGAACGGCTTCAAAAACTTGGTACCTTGAGTATTTCATTTCTATAGTATTGGCAGATAATGTTTTTTCAGTTTGATTGTATTGATTGATAAATGACTACTAAATCTGCCGAACTTTAAAGGTTGGTCAAGAAAACTTATGCCCTGGAGTTATGCAAATACATCGTGAGGGGGCAAGGACTCGTTTGCAACAAAATCGTGTAGAAGTCTCAATTTACCTGTTGGAATTTTTCATTGTTTTTTAGGTTAAAAACAATAAACAACTCTATCGAGCAAATGCGACAGCCATAAAAACGCGTACATGTCTGCAAAGACATTAAAGAACTTCAGCAACGACGACAGCGAGAACGGCAAAAATGCAATAGCTTTAGATTGGCAAAACAACAACTTTACACAAGCATCACGCGTTTTTGTACATTAAATTTCGTTTTGGTCACTGCAAGACTACGACATGAAAATGCCTATTTTCAGTCTTTATAAAGGACACAAACAGGCGACGATGAATTTCTCTATCTCTTTCTAAACTTGAGTGCGGTCCCCAAGAAATAAACTGCAGGAAAATTCGCTTAAATTTGCCATTTTCAACGAACTGGAATAAACGCGGCAAAGTTTTAAAAAACGTGAATTCATTTTAAAAGTGACGTTTTTGTTGCCGTCGCCGTCATCGATGCTAAAGTGGCAACAAAGACGTGAATTCACGGTGTTACAAACTTCATCGCCGTTATTCCATGTCATTCACTTTGTCAAATTTTTGGCGAATTTTTCTGGCAGGAATTTAATAAATCCTAAAGGATTGTATCAAATTAAGTACAGGTAAAGAAACAGAAAATTGGGGCATTGTTTACGTCCTCCAATAAACGTGAGATTTTAATTAGGCATTTTTACGTCGTAGTCTTGCAAAGACGGCAAAGAAATTTACAAAATAGCGTTGTGCACGTGCAGAGTTGTTGTGTTGCTAATCTTAACCTATTCGCCACATGCACATCTCCCAAAATGCACCTTGTTTGCCCCCCAAAATTTTGCCTAATCATTGTTTTCAATTTCTCTTGGGACGGCTTTCATACCCAGGGGAAATGAAAATCAAAGGTTATGCAAATTGTGGGGGGTAAACAAGGTGTATTATGGGAGATGTGCATGTGGCGAATTGCTTTTTTAAAAAACGTTCTCTTTGCCCTCGCCGTTGTTGTTGTTGATTTAAGCTCGGCTATTTCCACAGTTGATAACCGTACGTTGCTAAAGGAGAGTGATTCCAAAGCGACATGATATGAGAGGCACTGGAGATTTTACGGAATTGCATACTGGTAAGAACTGTTTATATGACTCATTCTTCACTTACTAAGCAGTCTTAATATTTCGAAATGTATTGTTTTCGGTGTTTTTTTGGTTAAAAAACTCCGTATTTGAGTAACTTCTATCAGACTCTTTTCTGGTCTTTTCAATAGGTTGAAAATCTGTTCTGGAATCTGTAAGGTTTTCGCTAAATTTTTCACTTTTTAATTGATTTGCAAATGCAAATGATGACCGGTCGATCCTAATTAGCATTCCATTGTTTCAGTCATTCAACTCCCCAAAGGCTGAATTCAAACCCTTCCCCTCACTTTTCGGTCATCTGATGAATTTTACATGTCCTTCCACGAGAGTATGTCTATTGAATAATTATAAGTTTTTGAAGCACAAATAGATATTTAGCAATAACGTATTTCTGTTTAAAAAAAGCCTACCACTGCCACCTTTCTGCAACTTGGTTGAGAATGAATATTAGTAAGAATTAAAAAAGAAATCGTTTATCGAATACAGAACTTTATTAAAAGAATATTCAAGTTAACTTATTCCTTTAACAAATAAGTTATGTACATGACTTGGTTTAAGACCACACGGTTTCACCTCGACTAAATGTGGCTTCACTTGCCTACAATAACATAAAAGCACTGCTGTACAGCTGACAAATACATATGTTAATCAAAGAGGGATTTGTTTACTATATATAGTTTCCTCTGGAAAAAAGGACAATTTTATTGAAATATCTGAACTCGATGATTGCTTTTGTCGCACACAACAATTTGACCATTACTTTGTACAGCTGTTGAGAATGGATCATTAAATTCTCCTAATTTGCTGCTATTTGTTCCAAATTTTCCGACAAACTTCCCATCTAGTTCAAAGACTTGTATTCTACGATTACCTTGATCACAAACCAACAGGTGCTTTGACTGAGTCACCGACAGAAAACGTGGATAATTAAACTCCCCATCCCCCTCCCCCTTCTTACCAAACTTGTACTGAAAATGCCCCTCCATGTTAAATACTTTGATACAGTGTTCATCTCTGTCTGACACTATGAAATATTCACCACACTCAACACAGTGAACAGGACCATTTAAGGAACCCTGCTCACCTATCTTCATTACCAACCTACCATCCGGGGTAAAGATCTTAATCAGTTTGTCACCTGCATCAGCAACGATAACATTACCAGTACTATCTAAGGATAAACCCCCAGGGGCAGAGAGCTGACTATCAAGGCTTCCTTTGCCACCAAATGAACCCAGGTGCCTCCCCTCCCAGCTAAAGATCTGTATTCTGTGGTTATGAAGGTCTGCTACGAAAATTTGTCTATCCTTATCAATGGCTATTCCAATAGGGCAGTTGAACTCTCCAGCATTTTGACCTCTACGACCAAAGGATCTTAAGAAAGTACCGTTACTGTCAAACACTTGAACCCGATGGTTCGCATAGTCAGCTACTACTATTTCGTCCCCATCATTCACTGCCACCCCATAAGGAAACTTAAACATTCCTTCACCCGAGCCTTTGTTTCCAAAAGATAAAACAGGTTTGACTTGAAATGGTTTTAAAATCACAGTAAAAGGACTACAAGAAATATGTTTCCCGTTTACCTTAACTAATAATTTGAATGTCCTCTGAACTATAGGAAAATAAGTGATTTTGTAGATTCCATTTTTGTTATCATCTATTTTCACTTGGGTCACGCATTCTCGTTCTTGTTCGTTCTTGATCTCTACCGTGACACGGTCCCTCTCATCATACCACTGCTTTCTCCCTGCGCTTCTTGTGATCAAATTGAATCGAGCTTTACGCGCTACAATTCCTTCTTTCAGTCCATCACCTTCAGCCAGTGATTCACTTGCTTTTGTTTGAGAAGGTTCTTTCAAGAATCCAATGTCTTCCTCGTTGACGACATCAAGCATCTTCTGATTTTCCACGAAACCAAACGTTTTTAAACTACTGGGGTCATAAACAAGAGGCTCGGTTTGATTCAGTCCATGAAAGATTGTTTGTAGTGATTTTTTAAGTTGAACAACTTCCGCGGTGGTACTTCGTTTTAGAAGTTTGTCAGCTTTAATCAGTGATGATTCGGCGGCATTTATCTGTTGCTGAATCGCACTTCTTTTTGCTTTTAAACTTTCGAGTGACTTCTTCGTTTGGTTTTCCACAGCGGTAATAATATTTTGCATTTTTGCTTGAATTGTTTTGATCAAGGCATCAGCAAACCTTTGGACATCTCTCCTGGCGATTTCACTTTGTTGAATCCCTTTAGCACAGTCTTCGTCTAGTTGAACGATTACGTTTAGTTTTGCATCTAACTCTTCTCTCTGCGATTGAAGGATAGATTTTATTTCGAGTGTTTTGTTTTCGGCTTCTTCTTCGATTAATCTCAAATCATGACCTCCGTGATTCAAAGTGACGCAAGTTTGGCAAAGAGCCGTCTCGCATTCTTTGCAGTAGTATTTGAGTTCTTCTTTCTGGTGTCGTTCCTTTGAACAAAACACTGGTCGCTTCAATACATCCTCGTAGTCCTTGTCTTGGAACTCTTTCACTGCCAATACGCGGTGTTCCTTTCTGTCTTGCATCATATTGTGACCAACCAGGCATTGCTCGCAATAAAATATGCAACACTGGAAACAATACGAAGCTTCTGAACTCTTCTTGTCGCAGTTTCCACATGTAACTTGAGTGCTTTTGCATTCTTTTATAGCTAGAACATCGATCAAGCCGTTCAAATAAAAGCTTGTCGGAAAATCTTTTAGATCACCGCTTGCAGGTACTCTGCTTAGGGTTTGACACTTCGGGCATTTAATGGCCTGTCCGCCGCCGCACGTTTCGTACCATCGATTCAGACACTTTAAGCAGAAACTGTGCAGACAGGAGAGATGTTTAGGATCCGTAAATAAGTCCGAGCACACTGAACAAGACACTTCTTCTCGAAGATTGTGAAATAGCGTTGTTAGATCCATGGTGGCTTTAGGAACAAAGGCGAGCTGACCTTCGATGCACTCCACACCCAACAATGAAGTCTTGTGACTTACTATCTTTAGCTTTTCTCGGAAACAAAGGCCGACGGTCCAATCACGACCAATGTTGTAAGAGTCCTTGTCGCGCCAGCTTTAGTTTGCCATTTTAAATGCAAATTATTTTAATACTAAACCAGACGTAAAATGATCAATAACAAGATGAGGACTAAATCCTTTGTGAAGCAAGAATGCGTGAAAGCCATAACTATGAAGGATGCTAAATCAAGTACGAGTGCGGCGTAGATAAAAGCGAAACATCTGTTAGCCTGTGTACTGCCGCCCCGTCTCTCTATTCTATTTTTTTTGAGGGGAGGGGTTACTGTACTCGTTCTACTCTCGTTTTAAGACCAAAACGACTAAAACACCATACCCTTTGGGGCGGCACATACCTATATGGGTAATATAATGGAGTAACCCCCCGGACACAGTCTCAGCAAATGTCCGTGAAAGAATTATATTGCACGTACCAATCCCCCACCCTTCCCCTCAAGGGTTTAAACCAGGTTTAAAATAAGTAAGTTTTTCATGTTTTCCGCAGACAAAATTTTGGCAAAATTTATACAAGTTTATAATATATCATGATAGTGTCAAAGGTCCCTAACAGGACCGGCTATACAGCATAATTGTTTCTGTTACAAATCTTGTAGTGCTTATCACGTGAGGCAAATAACAACACAGCATAAGCCAGCAGCAGGATGTTGTAACTACCGTGACCCCCCTTTACGCCCCACGGTGGGGATATCAATTCGTTTCGTTGAACATCCATTCTTTCTCTTGCAATGTGCTTATCTTAAGCGTAATTCTTTTTTGGCTAAGCTCAGTATATTAAGCTTTAGGAATACTATACCCGTGCCGGTAAGAGGTTGTGTAATGACACTCTGTAGTGTTTACCCCTAGGGTCGTGTAATTCACAAGCCTTTTAAGGTGGTACCGGGCAAAAGTCTTTGGCCCTAGTATTAAATCTTATTGAGGGGAAAAGTGTCTATTCTAAGTTTGAAGCAGAGTTGATACAAGAAATAACTTAAAGCTAGCAACGAAAATATTGCTGGATGCATGTGTTGGGTGAGTAAGGCTCCATACACATAATTCCACTTTATCGGCTTCCCCTTTGGGTAGGACTACCGGTCAACCAGGGGGATTGTAAAATGGGCGGAGCAAAGGTGACCCCCTGGAGTGGGGAAATATAAAAAAGGCCCCTGGTAAAATTGCTTTTCAATGAAGGACGTAGACTCGCACAACTGAGTACAACTTCTTTGTTGAGAAAGAAAAGATAGTCACGTTATCTTGTGCACTAAATAGACGTCTTGCCATAAAGGAAAATATCATTGTGTTAAAGTATTAGGTTTAAATTTCGCTGGCAAGCCATCGCTTTTACAGACTTTTAATTCGGTATGCTCAGAAACAGGCAGACTATAATGACTTGTACGAGGTCTATGTTAATCATCACAAAGTGCCCTCTTTATTATAGCTCTCGACAAATTAGCGCACGAAAATATCGCTCAGTAATTAAGACTCTGTAACGTTTAAAACACGTGGTGCTGTAAGTGTTTTGAAAAGCTCAGTCAAACTGACTCGATACCTGGAGTATTTCATTTCTATGGTTTTGCCAATTCAAGTATTTTTCCCTTTTTGATTGTGTTGATTGAAAAAGGACGACCAAATCTTCCGACATGTAAAGGTTGGTCTTGTAAGGGTGCATGGATTTCTTGGCAAACAGGATCCTATATTTGTCGCATTTATCCATTGGAATTTTTTCATTGTTTTAAGCTTTTAAAAAAATCAATAAACGACTCAATCGAGTAGATGTGACAGCCAAACCTGTACATGTTGCTAATTAATCTACCCAGAAGTACTTGTTTAAAGGTGACGTTACACGGGAGGATTCGCAACGACGATTTTTAGATTCTATTAGGGCTTCAAGGGTTATACACCACCAAATATTGCATAGAATATAGTTGAAATTCAATAAATGATGTTGTTAGTTTGAAGTCTGTTCCCTTCCATGGTCTTTGTTTCCACGACCGAACATGTACAGAGAAGAAACGATCTCACAAAATAAGAAAAAAAGAACTTACAAAATTCCAAACCTGAACTGTCATTCGCCCCTTTTAGAAGGAAGGAAACTGGGCCGAATAACTTACGAGAGAAAGGGGAAACAAATTGGCCAATAGCTGACCGACACGTCACCAGTAACGATCCCAGAAACGATTGCGCGACGCATTTCGGCTCCAGTTCGCTTCTCGTTTCTAAGGGGAGGGAGGGGGATGACGCAATTTTTTGTCTCTTGCATGGGACTTCCCTAGCTTTTTCGCCGGACTTTTTATGAGGTCTTTTATTACTATATAACAGACCACAAAATGTTCAAGACTTTGCAGTCGAACCATTCGACGGCAACTTGTTGTTCCGCGTGATTAGTTTTGAACATTTTGACGTCTTCTATCATTGATTACTAATTTTACTAATGAGGAAAGAGTAACCTCGTTCTCAGGGTTCTCTCTCTTGCAAGCGTTTTCACATGACGTCATGGTGGCCATGTTGGCGTTAGACTTTTTCTCTTATTAAAAATCCGTCCCCTTCTTAGCTCAGCCGGCGCGATTGCAAACCACAACGTTACGTTACAATAAAGGGCTCACGCCCTCGTTTATCGCTTCACCGCTCGTCGCTTGCGTGCTTGGGTTTTGGGTGTGCAGTAACTTTGACAGTCCTTTATAACTTGAAGAATTGTCTTAAGTAAACGCTTCTTTTTTTCCAATAAACACGCATAGATGTTGGTCACGGGAGTGAAAACGCTCCACGGAACATAGAAAATTGAGGTCCATTTTTTAAAACCTCAGTGGGAACCACGAGCCGCAGTAACATTGACAGTTTTTAACGTCTATTTTTGTTAAAGTTTCTCCGGGATTTGCGCGGGCAAGAGAGTGGGAAGTACATTGCAACATCATCATATCTTTTCCATGGTCTGTACTTTCATCGCCTTTTAGCTCTCGACCAATCAGCGCGCGAGAAATCCGTTTTAATTATAAAAGGCGATGCAATGTTTCAAACACGTGCTGCATCGAATGCTTTTAACAGCTTCAAAAACTTGGTACCTTGAGTATTTCATTTCTATAGTATTGCCAAATAATGTTTTTCCATTTTGATTGAATTGATTGATAAATGACTGCTAAATCTTCAGGTTGATCAATTATAGTTATGCCCCGGAGTTATGCAAATACATCGTGAGGGTGCAAGGACTCGTTTGCAACAAAATTGTGTAGACGTCTCATTTTATGGTTAAAAACAATAAACAACTCTATCGATCAAATGCGACAGCCAGAAAAACGCGTCTGCACAAGACATTAAAGAGCTTCAGCAACGACGACAGCGACGGCAGTGAGAACGGCAAAAATGCAATAGGTTTAGTTTGGCAAAACAACAACTTTACACGTGCATCACGACTACGACATGAAAATGCCTATTTTCACGCTTTGTAAAGGACACAAACAAGCGACGATGAATAGCCCATTTTACAGTTGCAGGTGAAACCGAGGCTGGAGTTGACCTTGTTTTGATACAGCCCTTCCTGCTTTATTATGTAAATCATGTCTTTCTTATGCTAACTAATATTTTTTAAGCAAAAGTTACATTAGAAAAGGATCGAGGTTTTTATCAAAACAAGGTCAACCTCAGCCTCACGTTCACTCAAAGGCTAGGACACTAAGCACACAACTGTAAACTGGCCTATTTCTCTATCTCTTTCCAAACTTGAGTGCGGTCCCCAAGAAATCAACTGTAGGGAAATTCGCTTAAATTTGACGTTTTCAACGAATTGGAATAAACGCGGCAAAGTTTAAAAAAAGTGAATTCAATTTTAAAAGTGACGTTTTCGCTGCCGTCGCCGTCGTCGATGTTAAAGCGGCAACAAAAACTTGAATTCACGGTGTTGCAAACTTCTTCGCCGTTATTCCATGTCATTCACTTTGTCAAATTTTTGGCGAATTTTTCTGGCAGGAATTTAATAAATCCTAAAGGATTGTATCAAAGTACAGGTAAAGAAAAAGAAAATTGGTGTCATTTGTTAACGTCCTCCAATAAACGTGAAATTTTAATTAGGCATTTTCACGTCGTAGTCGTGCAAAGATGGCAAATAAATTTTCAAAATAGCATGGTGCATGTGCAGAGTTGTTGTGTTGCTAATCTTAACCTTTTCGCCACGTGCACATCTCCCAAAATGCACCTTATTTGCCCCCCAAAATTGCATAAGCATTGTTTTCAATTTCTCTTAGAACGGCTTTAATACCCTGGAGAAAAAAAATCAAAGTTTATGCAAACTTTTGGGGGGCAAGCAAGGTGTATTATGGGAGATGTGCAAGTGGCGAATTGCCCTTTTTTTTTATAAAGAACGTTCTCGTCGCCGTCACTGTCGTTGTTGTACGTTGTTGATTAAGCTTGGCTATTTCCACAGTTGATAACCGTACGTTGCTAAAGGAGAGTGATTCCAAAGCGACATGAAGGGCACTGGAAATTTTACGTAAATGCATACTGGTAAGAACTGTTTATATGACTCATTCTTCACTTGCTAAGCAGTCTTAATATTTCGAAATGTATTGTTTTCGGTGTTTTCTTGGTTGAAAAACTCCGTATTTGGGTAACTTCTATCCGATTAATTCTTTTTTGGTCTTTTCAATAGGCAGGAGTAATCGGCTCCTCCAATAGGCTGAGAATCTATTCTGGAATCTGTAAGGTTTTCGCTGAATTTTTCACTTTTTAATTGATTTGCAAATGCAAATGATGATCTGCCCATATTAATTAGTATTCCATTGTTTCAGTGATTCAACTCCCCGCCAAAAGCTGAATTCAAATCCCTCCTCTCACTTTTCGGTCGTCAGATGAATTTTACATGTCCTTCCACTAAAGCATGCCTATTGAATATAATAGAATATTGAATAGATATTCAGCAATAACGTATTTCTGTTTAAAAACAGCCTACTACTGCCACCTTTCTGTAACTTGGTTGAGAATGAATATTAGTAAGAATTAAAGAAGTCGTTTATCGAATACAAAACTTTATTAAAATAATATTCAAGTTAACTCATTCCTTTAACAAATACGTTATGTACATAACTTGATTTAAGACCACACGGTTTCACCTCGGACTAAGACCCTGTTTACATGGAGTGGGGCACCTCGGTCTAGTGGGGCAGGTTTCATTTGTTTTGTGTCCTCCAGAGCGTAAAAACAAAAGAAACCAACCCCACTAGACCGGGGTCCTCCACTCCATGTAAACAGGGTCTAAATGTGGCTTCACTTGCCTACAATAACATAAAAGCACTGCTGTACAGCTGACAAATGCATTTATTAATCAAAGAGGGATTTGCTTACTATGTAGTTTCCTCCGGAAAAAAGGGACAATTTTTATTGAAATATCTGAATTCGGTGATTGCCGCACTCGCACACAACAATTTGCTTATTACTGAGAACAGCTACTGAGAATGGACAATTGAATTCTCCTAATTTGCTGCCATTTGTTCCAAATTTTCCTACAAACTTCCCGTCTAGTTCAAAGACTTGTATTCTATGACCACCCTCATCACAAACCAACAGGTGCTTTGACTGAGTCACTGACAGAAAACGTGGACAATTAAAATCCCCGTCCCCCTCCCCCTCCTCACCAAACTTGTACTGAAAATGCCCCTCCCTGTTAAATACTTTGATACAGTGTTCACTTGAGTCTGACACAATGAAATATTCACCACACTGAACACAGTGAATAGGAAAACTAAAAGAACCCTGTCCACCTATCTTCATTATAAACCTACCATCCGGGTTAAAGATCTTTATCAGTTTGTTACCTGCATCGGCAACAATAACATTACCAGTACTATCTAAGGATAAACCCCAAGGATAAGAGAGCTGACTATCAAGGCTTCCTTCGCTGCCAAATGAACCCAGGTGCCTCCCCTCCCAACTAAAGATCTGTATTCTGTGGTTGTTTTTGTCTGCTACAAAAATATTCCTGTCCTTATTAATGACTATTCCAAAAGGGCGGTTGAACTCTCCAACATTTTTACCTCCGTGACCAAAGGATCTTAAGAAAGTACCATTACTGTGAAACATTTGAACCCGATGGTTTAAGTTGTCAGTTACTACTATCTCGTCCCCATCACTTACAGCCACCCCATAGGGAAACGTAAGCATTCCTTCACCCGAGCCTTCCATTCCAAAAGATAAAACAGCTTTGACTTGAAATGGTTTTAAAATCACAGTAAAAGGACTACAAGAAATATGTTCCCCGTTTACCTTAACTAATAATGTGAATGTCCCCTGAACTATGGGAAAATAAGTCATTTTGTAGATTCCATTTTTGTTATCATTTATTTTCACTTGGGTCACGCATTCTCGTTCTTGTTCGTCCTTGATCTCTACCGTGACACGGTCCCCTTCATCATACCACTGCTTTCTCTCTGCGTTTCTTGTGATCAAATTGAATTGAGCTTTACGCGCTACAATTCCTTCTTTCAGTCCTTCGCCTTCAGCCAGTGATTCCCTTGGTTTTGTTCGATTAACTTCCTCCGAGAAACCAAGTTCTTCGCCGTTGACGACATCAAGTATATTGTGATTTTCTACGAAAACAAAAGTTTGCAGTTTACCGGGGTCATAAACAATAGGCTCGGTTTCATTAAGTCCATGAAAAATTGTCCGTAGTGATTTTTTAAGTTGAACAACTTCCGCGGTGGTGCTTCGTTTAAAAAGTTTATCAGCTTCTTCCAGTGATGATTCGGTGGCATTTACCTGTTGCTGAATCGCACTTCTTTTTGCTTTTAAAATTTCGAGTGACTTCCTCTTTTGTTTTTCCACAACGGTAATAATATTTTTCATTTTTGCTTGAATTGTTTTGATCAAGCCATCAGCAAACCTTTGGACATCTCTCCTGGCGATTTCACTTTGTTGAATCACTTTAGCACAGTCTTCGTCTAGTTGAACAATCACGTTTAGTTTTGCATCTAACCCTTCTCTCTGCGATTGAAGGATAGATTTTATTTCGAGTGTTTTGTTTTCGGCTTCTTCTTCGATTAATCTCAAATCATGACCTCCGTGATTCAAAGTGACGCAAGTTTGGCAAAGAGCCGTCTCGCATTCTTTGCAGTAGTATTTAAGCTCTTCTTTCTGGTGTCGTTCCTTTGAACAAAACACTGGTCGCTTCAATACATCCTCGTAGTCCTTGTCTTGGAACTCTTTCACTGCCAATACGCGGTGTTCCTTTTTGTCTCGCATCATATTGTGACCAACCAGGCATTGCTCGCAATAAAATATGCAACACTGGAAACAATACGAAGCTTCTGAGCTCTTCTTGTCGCAGTTTCCGCATGTCACTTGAGTCTTCTTGCATTCTTTAATAGCAAGAACATCGATTAAGCCGTTCAAATAAAAGCTGGTTGGAAGATCTTTTAGATCACCGCTTGCTGGTATTCTGCTTAGGGTTTGGCACTTTGGACATTTAATGGCCTCTCCACCGCCGCACGTTTCGTACCATCTTTTTAGACACTTTAAGCAGAAACTGTGAAGGCAGGAGAGATGTTTAGGATCCGTAAATAAGTCCGAGCACACTGAACAAGACACTTCTTCGCGAAGATTGTGAAATAGCGTTGTTAGATCCATGATGGCTTTAGGAACAAAGGCAAAGTGACCTTCGATGGACTCTACAGCCAACAATGAAGTCTTGTGACATTCTATCTATAGCTTTTCTCGGAAACAAAGGACGGCGAGCCAATCACAGACCGCTATTGTAAGAGTCAATTACTGTGAACTTAAACCAGACGTAAAATGATCAATAACAAATAAAGATTAAGTCCTTTGTGAAGCAAGAATGCGTGAAAGCCATAACTGCAACTATGGGCGAAGTGTATAAAACCAAGAACAGTTGAGGCGTAGACAAAAGCAAAACAACTGTTAGCCTGTGTACTGCCGCTCCCATCTCTCTTCCCCAGTTTTGTTTGAGGGAAGAGGATGACTGTACACAGTCTAAACAACTTTCTGTGAAGGTATTATATATTGTCATGTTAAATAACCCACGGACCAATCCCCCACACTTCCCCTCAAGGGATTAAACCGGAATTATATTTCTGGAACGTCTTCTCGATCTTCGGTAGATGTTCACGCTTTCTGCTTTCTTGCTTTTGGTACAAGTCTATAATAATATATAGATTTAGCCAGGGCTAAAAGCGAGGCTCCCATTAATAAATTTATAATTTAAATTAAACAATAAATTTGTATTCGAATTCCACAATTCAGTTAACTTTAGAGCACATTTATGTGACTTTTGAGGGAAAGGCTACCTGATTTTAGAGAAAAATAATTTGCAAACAGCCCAAGAGTGAACAAAATCTTACATCGAGTTGATAGCCTCATATGTACACCCCAAAACGATCACATTTAAGAGCCATAATGGCTCTTGATCACCGTAATTAGTGGAAAAAAATCAGGCCAACTTTTTTGCGTTCGACAAGTTTACTTTGCAAAATCTTGTCAACAAATCTGGGTGCGTGTAAACCAACCTTTTATACCATTTATACATCACATCTGAGGTGAAACAGTAGTATGAGGCACTGTTTTTATCATACCGGCAGACCTCGGAAAGAAAGCAGTATTTCACAATACAAATTGCACTCATTCAATATTCGTAAACCGTGAAAAAAATTTCCAAAATCACCTATACGGCCATCCAGTTCTCACTTTTGTAGTGCGAGCTATGGCGAGTGTTTGAATGAACATTAACAGAGTTACGCTCCACCATTATAAAGAATTTATTCTGTTTATTTTTTATTTAATGGTTTATTAACGCGCGGCATTTTGAGTACTCCTGCAAGCGATGTTCACTGAACGACTGAAAACAATCGGCACAGCGATTAAAATTACAAGAGAGACTACTAACAATCAATAAAAGACATATAATTCGGTGAAACATACACAGAAACAACAATTTTCATTCAAGAGGACAAGTATTAAAGTATCCCTAAAAATCCTGAGTCTTCAAGCTTCAAGCTTAAGTTTATGTTTTAAGCCGGCTTCCCGGTGTTTGCTTTTTTCAAAGACGAACTCGAGGCAAGAAAATCGCTCAAAGCTTTCTTTTCCGGCCAGAATTATAACTAAATATTCTTTGGAACGTTTTCTTTCTATTTGCGGTGAGAAACTGTCTAAAGGCTTTTTAAAGTTCTGTAAGCTCATATCAAACCTGATACTCGGTC